ACAAGTCTTGCTTCAAGTGCAGCCACTGCAAAAGCACATTAAAGGTGTGCCATTTTTTCATTGGCTTACAATCTCTGGTTTATGTTCGACGATACAATTATATGCGGATGTAATGTCTTTGTCTTGTATATTTGGTAGACGTGAGTATAGAAGAAGGAACTTGGATATTGCGTTTATTGCAAGTAATTGCTCATTGTTCTGTGCACATGGAGCGAGTACTTGAGCATCGTCTTCTGCTGGATGATAGTTGAGTTTAAAATAATTCCTTTGCTCTCTGCTATGCTTCTATTTATGGCGAAGTTCACTCAAAAATCCTTGTCGGGAAACGAAGTCGACATTACATAGGTCTGCCACAGATTAGAGGTGCATTTTAAGGATAATGCAGCAAATGCATTTGCCTTATAAGGATCCATGTCTTGATTTCAGCTGAGCAGTTACAACTCGATGGAAGGAGTTCTTTACTGCAAGCCTCACTTTGAGCAGCTGTTCAAGGAGACTGGTAATTTCAACAAGAATTTTCAGTCACGTAAGTCTTGTGCTTTATTAAAATCATGTTCTTTATGTGATCAGCCGGCTGTTGTTTAACACTGCTTAATTTGCAATGATTCGTGTTCAACAGCTGCAAAGTCAGCTGAGAAGTTAACTCCTGAGCTGGTAAACTTCCATTAGATCACTTGAGCCAATTATGAGTGCGTGAATTTAACATAGCATGTTATTAGATATCACTGAGTGTCATTGCTAGTCCATTTAATTTTACAGACTAGATCGCCCAGCAAGGCTGCTAGCATGTTTTCTGGTACGCAAGATAAATGTGCAACTTGTGGCAAAACTGCCTATCCACTGGAGAAGGTACATTTTGCTTGTCTCAAAGAGTCTTGATATGGGTTGTCAATTATGAGGCTACCGGTTTGATAGTAATGCTTTCTATACGAGTAATTTCACACGGAATCCTAGTTTTTGCATTGTTGGTAATTGCATGCATTGTCGCACGGTTTTTATCTATCTTGTTCTTGAATGGACAGGCGTCTACTTCTGTCTGAAGGTTTTTTACATTTACGGGCTTCTCGACTTTTGCTTTATACAGTGTCAGAAAAAATTTGGCAGTCCTTTCCTTACTGTGTTGCATTGTTGATATATTTGTATGGGAAAATATTTGCTAGTCAAGCATTCAACAGGTAAAGGCATGATGGGTACGGTGAGTAATGTTTGAATGTGGAAACTGTGGTGGCACGAGTTCTCTAGGTAATCTGTCTGTTTGATGAGGGAATACAGAAAGCATGGCTGTTACTCTATAGAGCTATGGTCTCCCCTGGAATTCCCATTTCCTGTTTTCCCTTCTTGTAGAGCTCTGAAGCACCCATGTTAAATGCTTACAAGGAGAAACTCCTGTTGGAGTTGTCGGACAGCATGAGCAGAAACTGCTCTTTTACAAATGTTAAACTTCTCCTTAGCATGTGCCTTTCTTGCAATAGATTTCTCATCAGTGTAACATTTCTTCTTGTAGAATGATTGTAGGTGCTTTAAGTTGCATTATAACAGCTTTCTAGTTGATTTCTTTATTCCTCTGCTTCAAATTTTTGTTTATTCTAATGGCTCGACTTATATTCCCTAACTGCGTGGCTAACTCCTATGTTTATTAACAAAAAATTTGCAGGTAACAGTGGAGAGCCAATCCTATCACAAATCATGTTTCAAGTGCTCTCATGGAGGTTGCCCCATAACCCCATCAAACTATGCAGCTCTGGAGGGCATCTTGTACTGCAAACACCACTTTTCCCAGCTTTTTAAGGAGAAAGGAAGCTATAACCATCTCATCAAGTCTGCATCAATGAAACGAGCTGCAGCGTCAATTCCAGAAGCTTAAAATGAACTTGATTATGATGTTTCTTGATCGGTTATTTGGTCGGTCTTGATGTGTGCCTTTTGTTTGTCTAGCTTGATCATCTTGTGGGGGAACTAATGGACTTGGTTCCTCCGTTCCCGCTTTCCAAAAATCCTGTGACAAGCCCTTTCTTAAGTTGTGATGGATTATATGCAATTCAGAGTCCAAGGTTGTGAATTGACATTTTTATTTACCTGCAGAGATGTATTTCGGACAATCACGTTGCAGTTTGCTTTTCGTTTGCAAACTTGTGCTACTGAAATTTCACGGCTTATGTCCCTTTTGGGATAAGTGCGTTCAAAGTCTTAAAACTTGTTACGAAAATATAATTGAGTCCTAAAATTTTTATAATGTGCAATTATGTCCTAAAACTTGTTATGAGAGTGAAATTGAGTCCTAAAAGTTTCAAAAAGTGCAAATAAGTTTTAAAACTTATTACGAAAGTTCAAACAAGTCTTAAAACTTATCACAAAGGTGCAATCAAGTCTTAAAATTTTCAAAAAGTACAATCAATGGAAGGACTTGATTGAATCAATTTGATAAGTTTTAAGATTTATTTGCACTTTCGTGACAAGTTTTAGGACTTGTTTGCACTTTTTGAAAGTTTTAGGACTTGATTGCACTTTCGTGACAAGTTTTAGGACTTGATTGCATTTTTTTGAAAGTTTTAAGACTCAATTGCACTTTCTTAATAAGTTTTAGGACTTCTAGTGCACTTATTGCTTCCCTTTTTCCTAAGAAAACTGTAGTTTCCCAGATGAGCAGCAAAGTTTGTGAGCTGCCTTTTCCATGGCTACCTGACAGTAGAGAAGGACCCTCCAATGTCAAATTTCATTTAGATTTAAAGCCCTTCCTTTAGTGATAACCCTACTAGGTGGAGCATCAGGTTTTGACTGATTAGTATGAAAAACTGATGGCAAATTCAATAAAATCGACATCTGAGTTACATCACAGATAGAAATGGGTTGTATCATTGAAGCAAACATCACTCTGAATCTCACTCACTCGTTATGATAGAAAACTAAAGGAAAAATTCCAATAAAGAGCCGAAGTATCCACTTTTTCTCAAATAAATATCTAAATTGGACATTGTTTCAAATAAAGGTATGAAGTATTATTACTTTTCAAATAAAAGCCTAAAGTGTATCTTATTTCAAATAAGAGCTTGAAGTGAATCTTGTTTCAAATAAGGGCCTGAAGTGATCATATCAGTTTCAAAAAAGAGCATGATCTCATCGGTTGTTCTACGGCATTTTGTTCTTTACTTTTTTTTCCTTTTTCTATTTTTTTCTTTCCTTTCGTCGCTGGCCGATCTCAATTAATAGCTTGCCGCCGGTGATACCTAGAGAGGGTGGGGCGAGGCCACCCTCAAAGGCCATAGGTGAGGGCCGACCTCGCCAGCCACAGGCAAGGCTAGCCCTCGCCAAATTTGGGCGAGGATTGCCTGGCCGCAGCCCTCGCCAGATTTGGGCGAGGATTGCCTTGCCCGCGGCCAACAAGGACCTCGGCGAGGTGACTCTCATTAGTGGTGGCGAGGGCTTGTAGGCTCTCTCCCGGGACTCGATTTTGTGTCAAGATCGAGTCTTTCCACTAATTTTGTCCAATTTGGCTAACTGAAAATGTTGATTTTTTTTTTGCATATTTTATCTCTCCCATGTGGTGTTTTACATGGTGTTAAGATTAACTAAAGTAAAACGACATCATTTTGATTCGAATCCTAATTTTTACACAAAATTTTATTTAATTTAGGTTAAAATATTCAAATTTTTTTCATAAAAAGACAAACTCAAAAAAGAAAAAAAATGCTAGAACTTTAAAAAAACACACAAAAAAAAAAAAAACCAAGCCATCAACTTGTGGGGTGTCGGCCATGGCTGGCGGGGTCGCTAGCCCTTGCTGAGGTGTCACCGACACCTCACCGGCGATGGGGCAGCAGCCCCAGCCCTCCAGCCCGTATTTCTTCTTTTTAAAATTTTTTTTATCTTTTTTAATTTTTAATCTAATTTAACTAAAATTTAGGTTAAATTTGTCTTGGGTTAATTAAAAAAAAAACACCAACTTTAGGTCGAGAGACAATTGACAATTCTGGCCCGAACTTTTTTTTGTCCCATAAAAAAGCACAAACTTTAGGTCGAGTGATAATTCTGGTCTCAACTTTTTTTTGTCTCGTAAAAAAGCACCAACTTTCACCCTGATCCCAAATATGCCCCCCCCCCCCCCCCGTTGACTTAAAACCCTTGATTATCCAACTTGAATATTCCACCTTAGCAATAAATCTACGTGATTTGCTAACTAGATTTAAAATACTATTTATTATCTTATTCTCTGAGCCACAGCTTGAAGAATAACAGTGAAACTGTTCGTTTTCTTCACTTCACCAGCAAGTGAAAAATATCTCTAGATTGAATCTTTATAGCCAGATTTCATCATTTTATCATAATCTGAAATTGTAGACCACCGCTTGTCGACAGACACCATAGACGAGATTCGTCAGGCTCACCACCATAACTTTTTTTCTCAAACAATGGTGAATTTATACAGAAAGTCAACGGGGGGCCAAATTTGGGATCAGGGTGAAAGTTGATGATTTTTTATGAGACAAAAAAAAGTTGGGCCAGAATTGTCACTCGACGTAAAGTTAGTACTTTTTTATAAGACAAAAAAAAGTTCGGGTCAGAATTATCCTCCGACCTAAAATTGGTGCTTTTTTCTGGAATTAACCAATTTTTCTTTGGATGAAAATGCTCTTGACCAGCCAGAATAATTAGTAGGTCAGCGAGGTCAGGCCCTTCTTCCATGGCCACTTCATACCTTTTTCTGAAATAAAATTCAGTTCAGGCCTTTATTTGGCCTTTATTTGAGAAAATAAGGACATTTCAAACTCTTATTTGAAATTTTTTAAAAATAAGTGAAAGAAGGTCATGCATCAAAAGTTCCGGGACAAGACTTGGCCACTCCAACCAGTGTACCGTCTGAAGATACTATCTGGTGAGCATTTTAATACTGCAAAATTTTCACTTGTGCTCCGCGCATAATTAACTGTACTGCAAAATTTCTACTAGACCACAATCTCTGTCCGAAAGAAACGAGGAATTCAAAACATAAATGAGCAGACGAATTAAAATCATAAGCTCCTTTCATTAATTAATCACTGTAAGAAACGTCAATAACAGATTGGTTGTGTTGATACACAATTCTACAGCCTCTATAAAAGAATATAAAAGAAAATGATGTATCTCCACAACCCCAAAAACTGGAAATATAAGAGACAAATCATTCACTTATTGAATTTTCTACTTTGGACTAATTCTTGTCTAAGTGTTGCTAACACATTGGAAACCATCTCCAGGCTTCCAGGGGGGAAAAAATAGAATGATAGGCGAAACCTTCACCAGCCGCTAGCACAAGCCCAACTTGCCTCCACTAAATAGCCCGTGCTGGAAAACAAATTTGAGGCTAATTCTTCGTTGAATAATTACGATTTGCTCCTCTTTTTGGCTTCACTGTAGAGTATAACTCCTATGACGGTTAAGGAGTAGCCGAGCATTCCTGTGACGGAGACAGGATTCCTGAAAATCAAGATTGACACCACCACTGCTACAGCGCCTTTTGCATTTCCCAGCACCTGAAAGAACAACCAATTCTTAGAAACTCTTCCGTTTAATCCTGTTGGTCATTCCAAGTCCAATTAAAGGATAAATAAACATCACTAAGGATGGTATTCCCAAGCCTAGGCAACATCATTAATGGATGTTCAGTATATGAAGAAGCAACTTGTTTAATGCCAATATGTCGACACAACTCCCCTGCCCTTCCTTCCCCCGCTAATAAAAATGGAAGAGAAAAGGAACACGTACACAAAATTCCAGAATGTGAATAGAGAAAGAATAAATTCCCTCCACCAAATAGCTCAAAACAGCACATAGCCTCATCCATTGGATATGATTAAATAACAAATTCATATGAACAGAGACACCCATATATTCTTAAAAGAAAAGGATAAAACTAGAAACAGTATTTGGCCCAACATAACCAACTTCACTGACCAACAATACCTATATATAGCCCAAGAAGTGTTTAAAAATCAATACTTTAGATTGACCATAGCACTAAGAAAATGCTGTTCTTGGAACAAAATCATTTAAATATTAAAGATTCCGCAATATTTGAGACATTATTTTTATCAGAACCAGTAAAATTCAGGGTGAATCATAGGACCACGAACTGCCTAATTCGTCGATATCCTAAAAGCATGTCTGGCCATAGGGAACAGAATTAGCTACACAAGATAGGACCTTACACAGCTCATCCCTAGTTATATAATTTGTAGAGCCCAACAGGACAAGTTCCTCGATTTCAAGCTGATAGTTAGCCAACAACTCCATTCCCTATTAATACATACTTGTCAAGGACCTCCACAAATTAAAGTCTCCTAGGTTCAGTGGATAAACAGTCTCCATAAGCTTCTTTTTCATTATTTACATCAGTAATCAGTCGATAATGATCGATAAATCACTCCTTTATCCCCTTCAGATAGGGTTGTCAAGTCCACTTAACTGCTTGCATAAAAATGATACAATCACTTCTTTATGCCCTTTCATACAGTACTTATCTAGGAACAGTCTATACCAACGAGGGTACACGAGAGATAATCTGATGATACACAAAGTGCTCTCACCAATGAATAGGTATCCACAGAAAATAAAATTTGAACACATACTAGACTTTTCAAGTGGACTCCAATAGATCCTCTACAATCAACACCATGTTTTTGCACCAAGGACCACCTTCTCTTTTTCAAATAGAACAGAATTGAACAGGAGCGAAGGCAGCCAATATCTAACCACAAAACTAAAAGAATGCATAACAAGAAGAAATTGGTACCTGGAGAGTCAGAGCACTGGTATGTTTTGTGACCAAAAAGTTGGTCAAGTTGACAAAATACGCGAGTGATGAATTGAAAAGCAGATACCAAATGATCCTAAAATCTTCTCTTGCCAAAGCTAGAGTAATGCCAACCACATTTTCTTCCATGATAAGGGTTGCGGGGAGGAGAAACACCACAGCTATGGGAGCCATGTATAATAACAGATTCATAGAATTCAGCTTCTCCCTGTAGAAAATTCCTCTCACCTTCAATTATATTTCTAACACAGTGCAGAATGCAACACTAAGCCATGCAGGGACCGCACAAACAAGAAGGAAAGAGAGAGGAGGGGGGGTGAAGAGAGAGAGCACCTACCCTTCAGAAGAAAGGAGGATCCCTTGCAGAACAGATTTCAATGCCCGTGCTGCAGTAGCTGCCACACACATGATAAAGCCAAATAGATGGAAACTTGGTTCACCCTGAAGCCATATGGAACTAAGAGTTATGAGTATTACGATGATTCCACTGAAAAGACAATGTCCATGACAGAAAAGAGAAGCTCTACAAATTTGTAGGTTTTCAAATTAAGATTGCAAGAGTGATAAAAGCCATAAGCATTCTAATGTTAGTTTTCATTGGAAAAATAGGTTCCCGCGAAGCCAATCTGAGAATTTCGTCATGAAATGGGACACAAATCTTTTGCATTAGCAAAAAGCTCCTCCTAAGCATATGCCATTGCTTGTGGAAAAGAGGCCTTTGTCAATAGAATCAGACAATATCATGCAAATGTATGCAAATGGGGACCCCACTTTGTTGCTATTGCTGTTTATTCAAATGAATGAAAATTTTAGTGGCTGGGACACATGAAAAGAGATAGATATCGAGCGCATTTTGCATCCATCAAATCTCCCTCTCGAACAGCATCTTAGCACCCCAATGGAAGCATACACTTAGCCCATCTTTCCTCATATGACAATTTGCATTTCCGCATACAGGAAAAGACAAAGGTTTTTAACATGAATCACCCATTACTCTATTCATCTCTTCCCTTCTCTTCTATTTGCCAAGTAACCCGAAAGAAGGAACACTAGAGAGACATCTCTTAAAATAGGTGAATGTCTTCACATTTAGGAATATAAGTTAAGAGGAAAACCGCACATGTAATTTTGATTAAAAATCTTAATCTATCTTTTTTTCCTGCCTAAGCAAGATTTACAACGCAAAATCAATCCAGTTCGCGCACTGACTGATCCCTCCCTAACCCCCTACCGAAGTCAACAGAATGTTTCTACTGTCGAGTACCTCTAACAACCAACAAGTAAAGCTGTAAATCTACAGGTGAAGCAAGAATAACTTTTGATCCAACACAACCTTCCTTATACCAGAAACTTCCATAGTGCTATTTATCCCAACTCACACAATCATAAATTCAATGTCCCAAATCTCACCATCTGAAGAATGGCTGCATAGGCTGCCTGATCCCACCCTAATTGTTTTGGTATCTACTAACTATTAACATTTTCCCACAATATAACCGATGTCCAGATGATGCACTGCATCCGCATGCCAAAAACAGAAAATGCAGTTCGGGAACTTCAGCTAGATAATCACCGCACCCACGTTATTGATCACAAATTTTGCATATACAATGAAGTAGATGGCGCAAAAATTGGCTCGACATACCCCACTGGCGATGATAACCCCGGTAACCACAGGAACCAGAGTTATGTACGTGAGCCAAGCCTCCCTCTTCAGCGTCATGAGGTAGGCGAAGACCGCGGTGAAGAACGGCGTGGTGGCCCCGATCGCCTGGTTGAAGGACACGGGCAGGAACCGGAGGGACACGTTGCCGAGGACGACCGACACGCAGAACACGAGGCTGAGGGTCGCGATCTTGAGGAACTGGACCCGGGATCGAATGGTCTGCATCGGGACCATCTTCATCCACGCGATGGCGATGTAGCTGAGCAAGGAGCAGGCGGTCATGTGGCACATGGTGAGGAAGATGGGGTACTTGAACCCGTAATTGCTCAGCAGGTACTTGTTGAGCAGGAGGACGCCGATGTTGGACGAGTACCACGAGGTGACGAGCCCGATCGTGAAGAATCTGCTGTTGGGCTTCATTGCGGGGAAGGAAGGGGGAGGGACGACGGCGGCGGCGGCGCCGGAGGCGGAGGCGGAGGAGGAGGGGTAGGAGGGAGGAAGGAATAGACTGAATCGTCGGAGGTCCGCGATTTGGACGAGGTCGGGGCTCGCTAGATCGGCATCGACGGGAGGACACGGCCCTGTCGGCGGAAGCGGAGAGATCTGAGCAATGCGTGGCTCAAGAACCCGAGGAGGAACGAGCTACGACGAGGCGCCATGGATCTCCGGACAGAGTCTCATGCGTGCGAGCGAGCGAGCTCCGGCGAGACAAAAAACCGGGCGACGGATGCAGAGATTGGTGTCGGAGAATCGAAGGATCGCCGACGAAATGTGCGCTCCTCTGCAGACAGAGAGAGAAGAAGAAGAAGAGAGAGAGAGAGAGAGAGAGAGCAGAGGTGGGACGCGTTTTAGGAGATGGCGATTGTCTTGTTCGTTTGATGAGTCTAATGAATTGGTCACATTTAATAAAACCCATTTTATTTATGTCTTTTTTATTTTATTTTTGGAGCTCTTCTTTCTTTTTTTTCCAATCGTTTGAAATTAATTTAACTCGGCATATATTCGGGATCTAGCAAAGAATTAGAAACTGCGTGCATTGTGGTGTGCAACTCGGGGAAAGTTAGGAATTCGATCGATTTGACTCGTACTCAAGGAAGTTGGTGCGCGCTCGGAGGGGGGCCTTTGGTACTTCGAATCGCCTTGAAAATATAAAAAAATGCCGGCCGAATTTAGAAGTACACATCATTGAAAACTTCGAATTGACATGACAATGCAAATTCTGGGGTAGTGCCATTCCGTGTCCCTTATCGAGACGCATCGAAATTCAATCGGCGCGTGAAAGTAAACCGCGATTTGGTCTTGCGATTGCGACTCGTTTCGTAGCGCTCGTCGACCGAGTCCACGGGCTCGGGTGATTAATGGCGTTGATTATGCAGCAAGAGAACGAGTCGGCACATGGAAATGGTAGGTACAGCCTAATGGAGAGGACTTGTCTTGGTGTTTGTTAAAATGAGAGAATCGTTGACCTTTCTATGTGCAAAAGATGCCGAATAATGAGCGTGCGTAGGTGCTTCCGCACTCCAACGGTTGACGCTTTGCGCCTTTTAGTCCGTCCGGACCATCTTACAGAATAAACAAAGCTTCGTCCTCCCATAGTTAATGTCAGATTTATTTATGAGCTCGCATTTGTTTGGAGTCCTCCTCAAAGACATGTGAATCAATCAAACTAGGGATAATGACACAAATTGCCCATGAACTTTTATCAAATGCGCTATGTAGTCCATGAACTTTCAACATGCAATGTGGTTCGTAAAGTTTTAATTTGCCCGGTGTAGTCCATGAACATTTGATATGTGTTCGACTTAGTCCCTGAATTATATGAAAATGTTCAATGATATCCTTTCATTAATTCAAATTCATGGACAATATCAAACATTGTCATATAGTTCATGAACTTAATTGAATATGTGCCAAAAGTCTAGGGAATACATTGAACAAATTGAAAATTCAAGGACCACATTGCATATTGGCCTATAGTTCATGGACCACATTGAACAAATTAAAAATTTATAGGCCACAATAAACATTAGATCAAAGTCTAGGGACCGTTTGTGTCATTTTTTCCATTTTATGGGCTTCACATGGTGTCCCGTGGGTTTGGACTAATTGCCGCTTGGTCCCTCATTTTCGAGTCATTCCATTTCTCAATAATTCAAAAATAAGAACTGTCCTAATCAATAAAACAAAAGAAAATTGCCGGCTAAGACTTTCGTTTCACACAGAGCACGTTCTCAAACGTTCACGTTCATTGCCACCTACGTTGGACAGGTTTTTATAACGGTAGATCTACGGCAAAGCCTTGTTGGCTTCGTGAGTCGCATTTGACCTCTAACTCATCGAAGTAGATCCACGATGTTTGTGCTGATCATCAGCTTTGCGTGCGTGGGTGCCTTCCTTAAGCTCAGGAACTCACCTTGAAAAGCATCAATCTATTTGACTTCTTCACGTGCTTTTGTGATGGAAAATGTTCAAGCACAGAGATCAAGTACCTTTTGGCCGAGTCCCTAGTCGATCAAGCGAACAACTTGATTCCCCCCGCTTTCCTAGCTTCGCACCTAAAGAGACCCTAAAGAATCACGACTCGCCATATTTACGAACATTATCATGCCTGAGAAGTAAAAAGAGTTCAGCAAAGCAAAAAATGCCGAAGATTGCTCACAACGGAAAGGCGACATGGTAATTGGGATTCTTTCAACTATGCCATGGACGGCTTTGAGGTTCATCCACAGTAGCCCTCCATCTTTTTGATGATATGTAGACTGAGAAAGCTTTTCCTTTCCGAATAAAACGAATAGAAGGTTATATGGTGATAAGATCTTTAGTCTTTTAACTATACCAGTCGAGGAAGAGGATTGAGAAAGTGAGTACAAAAAGGAAAAGCACAAGAAAGGTTCTGCTGCTGCTATTTCGCTGAATAGCCTGGGCCAGTTCTTTGTTCCCAAGCTGCACATTTTCGGTAGCTATCACTGCCTGTTAAAAAACCAAGGAAGTAGAAAACAGAGTAAGTAACAACTAGTTGCATGCATAAACTATGGATGACAGTTGACATGGGATTATACGAGAATGTAATTGAAGATGAGTCCTGACATCTTCTGTAATATTCACTTAATGCTGTTCATATAGAACTCATCCCGAGATCCTTCTGTAAGAAACTACAAAGCAGAGACGCAAATTGCAAATTAAAAGCTTGTGGAAAGGTGAGACACCTCTCATACAGAACTCGTCCTCGGTCACATTAACTCCCAATATAAATGATTTGCTGACAGCTAATTGAGACACGGGATAAAATAAAGCTAGAAACGACATCAAAAGAAGCTGAAATGGCAATTTTCAGTGTATGGACATTAAGAAACGGTTCCATATACATGTATTGAGGATGAAGACGAAATTAAGAAGTCGATGGCCATTCTTTGAAGTGTAAGCATGGGAGGCAAGCTAATGCAGAACATCTCGACTATTAACTTGATATAACAAGTCTCTTTTGTAAAATGTACTTCCCATGTTTTGTGTGATTAAGATAAGATCCTCTTCAAGAAAAAGGAAGAAGAATGCATCATTTGGTTGGTCTCGGAAAGTACTTTCATAGAACAACTCCAGAAGCAGCCCTCAGATTTAAATAACAAATTTGAAAAATTATTTTTCAAGAAGTATTATCAATGGGCTCCTAGAGTTCGTGAATTTCTTTATGAATGGAAGAGCACATCGACAGTCGTAATGTGGTCAATGAGACAAGAAGTCCCATAAAAGAAATGTGTTCTCTCTATTTTCTACTCATATTAGCTCTGCTAATGCTATAAATCAGCAGGGAGATTGAGAATAGACACATAGCCTTCTAATTTAGATTGCAATCTAGTATTCAGGAAATTATATTCCCCCCCTCCCAACAAAGGAGACATTATTGCACGCATCTAAATACATCTGGATCATTTAATCTAGTGGGTCCACCAGCTTTCCACATTGAAACGCCTAATTCAATGTTCAGATGGATACATCCACCTTACAATTTTTTCCCTCGAAGAGAGAAAGGGCGGCAATCAGCTGGAGGGAAGAGAAGTTCAAACAACCTATTTGATTTAGAATTCAACTTCTACAATTTGAACACAAGTTTTACAACTTTTGACCTTCACCTACTCAAAATTTATGATTAAGAGTGATATAGACGGAATCAAATCTAAAGGATAGCACATAAACAAATCAAAATTTTGTTAATGACAAATTTCAATGAATCCTTGTTGCATACGTCCATCAGTGAGGATATTATTAAACCAATACCTAGTAGCTGCCCAGGTTAAGCTGAAAAACCCAAATCAAATGGCAAAATATATGTGCGGACGAAACAGACTCTAGACACTAGGGTGAGTAAACCATACGAAGAAAAATGTGCGAATCAGGAGAAAGATGAGGCAGAAAATGATGCATACTTTAATCCAACTAAACCACACAAGAAACAAGGAATGAAAGAAAAGCTCTCACCTGCTCATATAGATGCTCTATCTGCTGAGCTTGCTGCAGCACATGTGTAGAAATGAGGTGATTCAATGCAGACATTTCCACCATCTTCGTTTCCGTTTGTTGGACTGCGTCTAGAAGGCTCGTCAACTCAAGCTGAACAATACATATACCAGAACATAAGTCTGAGTGACTTGAATGCTAGAATAAAATAACCAATCAGCATCATTAATAAACAGTTATTCCAGGAAAAAGTGGATTGTGTGATTACCTGAAGGGCACGGGTCTCATCATCCAAGTGTTGTTGCTGGACTCTCAGATGCTCACCTGGAACTTCGTTAGACTCTTTGAATTCTACATTACTGTTTGAGTTATCTACAGGAATTGAACTGGCAGACTGATTAAGCTTTCTTCTAGGTGTCACCCTATTAATAGCCTCCTGGAAGCGTATGGCTCTTAGCTGGTCAAACTGTGTAGTGACAGAATGAAGCTTCTCACTTAAGATCAATACCTACAGTACAAGAGAGTAATTAACAGCAAATTAATCCGCCAGCCAATGCATGTTCCATGCCACAGAAATCGCAGTGTAAACCTGAATATCCTAATCAAATCCAACAAGAAACACCAGAAGTTGTCTCTCCCTCACTCATAGAACACCAGAAAAAGCAAACTCCTCTGACCAAGCATAGGAAATTCATACCAAAACAGTGAAAAGTAAATTTCCAGCAACCTTATGGCATTAGACATGTTACAACATAAAAGAACGGAATTCCTTTCCGCGCAGAATGATTCATCAAAATCAGCACCATACATATGGACCTAAATTTTGTTCTACTGCAATGCAAAAGTCCTTCCACTTGCTTCTTAAAAAAAGAAAAGAAAAACAGTGCAGTTTATCTGTGCTGGGAGAAAATTCTTCTTAACTGTCATATCTTATTTAAACAGCAGTCTCCAACACCCATACAGAGGCTTAACCATGAGAAATCTTAAATAACTCATTAAGCATTACAACAAACTTATGTTCTTTCTACCTAAAGCATCTCCAGCCTCGCTAAATTAAAATTATATGTTTCGATCTAAATAATGTTAGAGTAACTGAACAATGAGTTTCGTCAGAATACCATGCACAGTCATAAGATTACACTGCCAAAAGATGCATAAAAGATAGAATTGCCTCACCACTCCCTGTTTGTGTGCTATAGTATCAGCATTAGTGCTATCGGCACTAAGGCCCAGCCATCCCTTCAACTTTTTTTCCTCCTCTGTTATGCCAACTTGCAGGATATCAATCTGTTCTTTGCAAGTTTTGATGAAAGCAGTAACCTGCAACACGTCATCCAGTTTTTTTCCTTTTTATATGTTGCATGTGAAAATGAAGGAATAGGCAATCAAAGCACTGTTCATGGGAACGAAAGTACAATCAACCTCATCAAGGATATACTGCATACATTCGAATCAGAAACTTTATTTATATACCTATAAGATGTCAGTAAGGGAAATGGTAGATTTATCAGAGAGTTTGATCACACGCATCGTACAAAGATCATCAGAGTCACAAGACTGCTACCTTTCCAGAATTAGTCAGAAAGAAAATTCATAGACAATTAAAGTCTGAAATCCATGCCTGTAAGCAAAATCAAAATAAGCAGGCCCTACAGACCTTCATAAGATTTGTCACGTACCTAAGTCTAACATACAGAAAATCCAGAAGCTTTTATTGTTAAAAAAAAAATAAAGAAAATCTTGAAGCATTCCCACGACTTACTTCATGTTCAATGCTATCTCTCTCCTGTTCTGTGGTGCGGAGTGGGTCCACGTAGTCCTTCCGATGCTTCCTCATAAATTGTTCCAAAGCTTCGATGCTTTCAAGCTGCATAGAGAATAAGTCGAGACAAAATATACTTAGCAAGGCGTACATTTTGTTCCCACCTCTTCTGAGAGGAGAAGAACAAAACAGTCAATTACTAGGCCAAATTGCCTCAGAGTTACATTATGTAAAAGGAATCAGCAATAGTATTCATATTTATTTCAGTGATGAGAGTACCGTTTTTAGTGCTGCCTTGGTGAAAGCTGATCTTTCCCGCCGCTTGTGTATTATGAAAGATGCCATGGTAGCCGCCAGCTTGGACTGTGGAAGGCATCCACAGCACCAAGGCAGTGAGAAGAATTATAGCAAGTAAATAGAGGATTGACACATGCATGTCCTGCCAAATACTTCTTTTTTGCGCACGACAGAGGTTTAGACATGTACACAAAATCAAAATATATAGCGGTGACCAGACCTCAGTATATCCCAAAGACATAGCACTCTGTCGCACTGCATCTTTGAAGTCCTCAGTGCGATCCCTGATCTTGGCCATTGTGCTCACTAACTGCTGGCCAATTCTGCAGACCCGGACTCACCCACGAGATCTCAGAAAGTCGTGCACGAAACAGAAAACCTCCGCGCCCTAGAGTGAAAGAGGTATATCAGAATATTTCACCAGTCCACTGGGTAACAAAACACAAGGTTCTTATATTCATACAGCATGCGAAAAAAGCAACGAGCGGAGCTTCCAATCCAGTGGCTCCACAATCAACCGGTTCAAAGTCCACGAAATAACACAGAAGTAGCGACAGAAAATCAAAATGTCTGCAATCTTTTGTCTGAAATCGGGTCCGCAAAAATATACCAAAAGCTTCAAAATTATTTTCAAATTTTTGCAGAGGCTCTCCCCTCTACCAAATCGAAGCATTGAAAAATCAGTACTTCCCTCACAACCAATAAACCCTCTGTCTGCAAAACCGTCTCAGGGACTTTCTATTGTACTGAATTACACAGCATTTCTATAGAACCTCGCAGATCCTAGCGCCAATACAAAACCCAGATATCATCCCCCAGTGAGTTTCTCAGTCGAACGATATCAAGAATCTCCGTGGACTCCAGAATCAATACTAATCCAACAATCATGCATATCATGCTCAGAGGGAGGGAGTGCCGGTGCGTGGGTTCTGATTCTTAGTCGAAGAAGAAAGTCAGATCAAGGCGGTTTCGTCCGGCTCGGTTTAGCCATCAAAACCCAACCTGACCGGAAAATTTCCGTCAGACCTAACGAACAGAGGTCGATCGGGGTCGCCGGATTGGATCGATCAGGTCCGGTGAGCGATCGACGGCAGAAATTTCACGAGCTCTCGCTCACACATCAGAAAACAGAGGTATAGCGCGAAAGCAACTGACAGCGTGATGGTGGAGACGGAGCTCTCGCCGATTTGAGAAGGAATTTTGAGTCGACGGCCGCCGCCGGCGAACGGGGCGGCGAACGGTGGCGGAGGAGGAGGAGCCGAGGGAAGAGGAGCGGAGCCAGAATCGGCGTGGTCGATCTTTGACCGGTCGTAGACCACGTTAGGCTGATATAATTATTTTCTTTTGAAAAAATAGTAATGGTGCAAAAAAAATTTTTTTTTTGGTCGAAATGGTGTAAAAAATTATAGAACACTTTACATTTTGAATATTTTCAAAAATTTAAGCGTTCGACGTAAAATAAAAGATTAAGAATGCATTTATTTCACGGAAAGTGTTTTCCGGGAATCCGTTTTCTCAACTTTCACTTGTTTAGTTCGCCGAAAATAATTAGTCAACCAAAAATACTTTTTGGTTAAGGAAAACATTCATGTATTAAATTAGGAAAGTGTGAATTTCCTAATTTAAGAAGGTGAAAACACTTTCTGGAATTGCTTTCCTTAACTTTTTTAATATTTTATTCTCTTATTTCTTTTTTTCTTTTTCTTTTTTATTTTTAAAAATAAAAATATTAAAAAAATCGAAATTACTTTTTTGCTTAAGATAAAATCATGAGATTGAAATAATTTTTCAGATGAGATCCAAACACCAGAAAACGTTTTCGATCACATATCACCAAACAAAAGAAAACTAACTATTTTTCTGGAAAATGATTTTTCGAAAAATATTTTTAAAAAATGTTACGTTTTCCGTGAAACAAACGCACTCTAAGAATTGTACCAAACATGTCGTGAAACTTTTACTTGCATTTGTCTGAAAATACATGATTTTATTTTTAATTATTTATACTTTGAAAGGTTCGAGGGTGCAAAAATTTATCAGGTAAACAAATTTTATTAGTACGAAATTATGCCGGGCGTCTATCAATCAATTAATTTCATTGTTAAAATATCCAATATATATGCTGACATGGAGCAGAAAATGAGTGAAAAAATAGAACAAGTTGTTCATTTTATTGGTCCTTCAAATCGATCCTCCCTCTTGGTTTTGTCAGAATTCAAAACCATTTGTGCTAGGGGTGATCGGTTCCCGGTCCGGTCCGGTTCCGAGTGGAACCGGGAACCGGACCGGGAGAACCGGTTCCCAATTTTGGGAACCGTGGACCGGACCGGACCGTCGGTCCGGTCCGGTTCCGGTCCGGTCCAATAGAACCGGTCACTTAGGATTTAGTTTTTTTTTTGGTCAAATACTTAGGGTTTAGTTCACATTTTACTAATTTTTATCAATGAATTTATATCAATGAAGTTCACTTAGAGTTTAGTTCACATTTTACTAATTTTTATCAAAGAATTTATGTCAATAAAGTTCACTTAGGATTTAGTTTACATTTTATTAATTTTTTTGAAGAAAAATTATGTCGGTCCGGTCCGGTCCGGTCGATCCGGTCCGGTCCGGTTCGGTTCCCCCTTGGAACCGGGAACAGGACCGCCCGGACACCGGTTCCACTTTTAGGAACCGGGAACCGGACCGGCATCCCTTAGAACCACCCAAATAGTGTCGGTCCGGTCCGGTCCGGTCCGGGCGGTTCCCGGTTCGGGCGGTTCCGTTTGCACACCCCTAATTTGTGCACTTTTACATAAGCACTTAGCAAGTTGTATTGTTCAAATAAATAAGCCAATGATCTCTTGTAAAGAGATGCGGGCCTACAGGTAGTATGTCCGAAAGTGGACTTAACAGGGGCGAAGTTAAAGATCGATTGTGTCTAGTCGCATTGATTTGTACCATTTGCTCAAACCCTTTTAAATTATTAACATAAGTAGAGAAAGGGCAATGCAAAAGTTAAGGGCAATGCAAAAGTTAAGTTCGTTGATGATTACTCTTGATTCCTTTAATATAGCTAGAGATGCACGAATACCATCTTTCTCCATGGGAAAAGTTCATGGTGATCAGAATGCACCGGCAGTAGCAGATTTCCTTAACGAACTTCCTATTCCTATATGGAAAGACTCAAACGAATTCGAGAGAATTCAATACATGATTTTCTGATATCACGAAGAGCAAAAGTAAAGATGGATGCCCTAACCAGGTTTCGACAGGTTCGATGTTGACGGGGGCACCGGTAGCAACGTCGATGTCTGTGGTTGGAATAGAGTCCTGGATAGAAATGTTACACACATGAACAACGGATATCTCCTGTTCGTCGAGTAAGAAGTCATCGACTTGAATTGGAGCATCCACGGCATCGATTGGCAAGGATAGCAAATCCACAGCCGCTGGGGGTGGTCTCTTATCGAGTGACGAAGTTAGAACTAGTCTCTTGCGTTTCAATCGAGTAGGTTCCTCATCCTTTTGTTCCGATAAGTATTTGTAAGGCAGATTAATCACTCAGCGAGGAATTGTTCCGCAAAGTTTTGAAGGAGTATAGTTACGGGATGACTTAATACCTAGCAAGGCTTTTCTCTTAGGTGTCTTGCGGCTGACGGTAGCCAGCCACAGGAGAGGGCGTCGAGCCCTAGAATTTCGAATCCATGGCTTATCATCATGAACGAAATCCATGGCAGGTTTTACTAAAGGGGTTCTTTACATAACAGTAGTACCTCTGGCTCCGCTTTGCGGAGGGGCGCCTTGTAGAGGATCTTAGCCTGTTGTTGACTACACAGCTGCAGTTCATCACACAGCTGCAGTTTTTGCCGCGGTTCTTGTATTGCTTGAGTTAAAACGCCTAGGAGTCAGATTGTGCTATTTTTCGTTGCCCTGCATTTACAGAGTGTTCTCACAATATTTTATGATGGCAATGGATGGATTAACTAGGAAACTTCAGTCAATAACGAGTTACATTGTCTCATGTGACCAATTATTAGAATTTTCAGATCATTCAAATGTCACAAATTTTACAAGAGAAGCGTACGTAAATAATGTTGATTCTTAAATAGATACACTTGTTCATTTCTATTTGTAGTATCCTATATCAACCTTTTCCCGGCTGGGAAATAAGGTCAAAGGATACCATATCTGAATGGACCATAGTTTTGTTATTCTCTATTCACGTGAAACAGGAAAACTAGTATTAATTAGATTTTCTATATTGCTTGCTTAATGTGCTTAGATTCTAACCCTTTTGGAGATGGAGGGAGTGCCATCTCCATTGTCAAAATGACAGAATTTGATACTACATGGACCAATTTGTCAATGGGACCTTCCCGGGATAGCATGCATTCTACGATGTTCACAGTGCCCGGAAAAATTAGTCATACACCTGACGGACCTCTCCCTATTGAAGGTTTGTTCCTTTGCTATGATATTTTCAATTCGCTTTTTTGTGCTGACTTCCTCTTTGGAAGAACGTTGAAATAGTGAGTTAAAACTTTGGAGGCACATGAAGATGATCAAACTCGAAGTCTTATTTGTTCCCGCAATTGAAATCTGCTCATGGCTCTATCAGTTTACTCGGCATTTGTGCACGGCAATATTAAGCTCTTTTAGTTCATGTCTTAAAGTAACTGCGGTGTTATACTAGAGGGTTCTTTTGCTGCCATGGAGGCATGTAGCATTAGGATCTTGAACTACGAGTTTAGCGATGAGCACTTAGAAAGAGAACATGTTTTATATGTGTAGACAAGTTAAGACCTTAAATTGATTAAGACTCATTATGAAGTAAAACTAACTAGCATCTGCAGTGGACATATGAAAGTTGTTAGTTTGAGATTTTAGTGAGCTAATGAATTTTTTTTTCCTGCGGATCCACGTATAATGTGAAATAAGTTTCTTAAATGGAGTATCCATGTGCAGTTTGAGCTTAATGAAGAATTTAAAGAATGTTTTAACTTTGACGAAGTGCTCGGGGAAGAGGAACTTTAAATGTTTGGCAAAACATTTCAAGAGAGTTGATATTATCTGCTTTGAAGCTAATAATTTTGGGTCGAAACTGTTGGGAATCGAGCACCGATTCCAGAAAAATAACCCAAACAAACGATCCTCACTAGCAGAATATAATAATAAAAGAACAGAATCGAAAGAACACACCAGAAAATTTGTTATCAAAGTTCACCCAAACCTGGGCTACATCTCCGCGCAGAGGCACTCTGCGAATCCACTAGACTTCGAAGAAAGTAGGAATACAATTATGATCTTCTCTCAAGATCGGAGCACAAAGAGATTGAGAACACTCACAAAGAAAAAAAACTCACTTTTTTTCTTCTCTCTTTTCTTTTCTCTCTATTTTCTTCTCAGCGCTTGACGGTTAACTTCTATCAATAGCTGATATATAAAGCGTAGCTTTTAACCTAAAAGCAAAATTAATAGAAAAGACAAAAAAAGCCCTTAATAACAATATTTGGCTTCATCCTCCAACAATCTCCCACTTGAAGACAAATACACCCGATGCACCAAGCAACTTTGCATCCATCTACTTCAAAAGCTAGTAACCTGAACTTGTGCCTCTGCGATACTCCTCATCAATTAACATGGAGTAATACCAATGGTAGTAGTACAGAGAATAAGTTTCTATCTGTCTACTACCTTGGTAAACATATCAGCTGGATTCTTCAAGCCATCAATCTTCTGTAACTTTAACTCATTATCTTTCAATGCTGACTGATGAAATGATAACACTTCTTGATATGTCTAGTTCTTGAGTGATAAGTTTGCATTCTTTGCTAAGTGTACTGCACTTTGACTATCACTCCACAAGGTGCTCACTTGTGCTTTCGATGTAGCTCCTCCATGTAATCTTGTAACCACATGATTTCCTTGGACGCTTGTGATCGCCACGTACTCGCTCGTCGTCGATAGAGCCACTACTTTCTGTAGTTGAGATACCCAACTCACTGCTGTACCTGCAACTGTAAAGACATATCCAGTGGTACTTTTACCACTATCTCGATCACCCGAATGATCTGCATCCATATAACCCTGCAACTCTAGAGATGTCCCTCCATAACAAAGAGAGTAATTTGATGTACCTGCTAGATATCTCAATATCCATTTTACTGCATTCCAATGCTCTTTGCCCGGGTTCTGCAAATATCGACTCACAACTCCCACTGCCTGTGCAATGTCTGGTCTCGTGTTCACCATGGCATACATTAAACTTCCCACTGCTGATGCATATGGGATTGCCGCCATCTCATCTTTCAAAGCCTGAGTACTCGGACACATATCCTTAGAAAGTTTGAAGTGACTCGCTAGAGGAGTCGCAACCGGTTTTGCCTTATCCATGTTAAATCTCTTTAACACCTTCTTCACATAGTCTTCTTGCGACAACCACAATTTCTTATTTTTTCTGTCTCTGATGATTTTTATGCCTAAGATATTCTTGGCCTCTCCCAAGTCTTTCATAGCAAACTGCGATGCCAACATCTTCTTCACTTCTGCGATTCTCTTCATATTGGAACTAGCCACCAGCATGTCATCCACATATAAAGAGAGATATACGATATCACCATCGCTATACTTGCGAAAATAAACACAATGATCAGCTTCACAGTGTGCAAAACCTTTTTCTTCCATGAAACCATCAAACTTTAAGTACCATTGCCGCGGAGCTTGCTTCAAGCCATACAAGCTTTTCTTCAAGTGACATACCATGTGCTCTTTACCTTTGACCTCAAAACCTTTAGGTTGCGCCATGTATAACTCTTCATCTAGGTCCCCATGCAAAAACGCCGTTTTCACATCCAATTGCTCTAGATGAAGATCCTCAACCGCAACTATACTCAGCAAAACTCTAATCGATGTCATCTTTACTACCGGTGAAAATATTTCGGAGTAGTCGATTCCTTCTTTCTGAGAAAAGCCCTTGACCACAAGTCTCGCTTTGTATCTGATACTACCATCTGCTTCATTTTTTATCCTGTACAGCCACTTATTTAACAAAACCTTTTTACCTGCAGGCAACTCGGTCAACTCCCAAGTTTTGTTCTGAAGTAACGAGCTCATCTCGTCTTTCATAACATGCTCCCATTGCATGTGAGATGTGTCTTTCTTTGCCTCATCATAAGTCTCCGGTTCTCCCGAATCTGTATATAAGACATGGTTCAGAACAATATTAGCCGATGGATCAAAAGTTACCTTTGGCTTTCTCAAGCGTGTAGACCTCCTCAAGACAGGTACTTCAGGGTCGTCAGTATGTTCTGGATCACCGCGTTCCTCTTGAACTCCGTGTTCATTGATAATAGGTTCATCTTGAACCTCCCCTTCTGGTACATTTTGTTTCGCCGAAACTATTTTCACAGGTATTGTGTCCAGCTCAATATATTCTGGTTCTACTACCTTCTCATGCTCCGTCTGATGATCCTTGTACATCTTTTCTTCATGGAATACCACATTCCGACTGCGGATGACTTTGTTATTTTCATAATCCCAAAGCCTATAGCCATACTCATCACCACCATATCCGATGAAGACGCACTTCTGGGACTTAGCATCAAGCTTCTTCCTATCATCCCTATCAATCAGAGCATATGCAATACAACCAAAAACTTTTAAATATGAATAATCAATCTTTTTACCTGACCATTGCTGTTGCGGTATTTCTCCATCAAGCGCACTCGATGGACTCCTATTAATTAGATAAACAGCTGCATCAACTGTACCAGCCCATAAGTGTAGCGGAAGACCCGCGTGTAGCCTCATGCATCTCGCATGTTCCAGAATGGTTCTATTCATCCTCTCAGCTACACCGTTCTCTTGAGGAGTTCTAGGAACAGTTTTCAACCCATGTATGCCTTCCCGGCTCAAGTATTCAGCAAATTCCTTACTCGTGTATTCACCACCATTATCAGACTTTAGAGCTTTAATCTAATAACCTATCTCTTTTTCTACCATGGCCTTCCACATTTTGAACATCCCGAAAACTTCTGATTTTTCTCTGAAAGCATAGACCCAAGTCTTCCTTGTTGCATCATCAATGAATGTGACAAAATATCTCTTACCACCATAAGAGAGTTCCTGAGCCGGTCCCCACACATCCGTATGAACTAACTCTAATTTTTTACCTTTATTCTGTCGCCCATTCAACTGAAAACTGACTGCCTTTTGTTTTCCATAAATGCAACTCTCACAGAAATCTAATTCAACTTTTTGCAAACCCGGAAGTAACTTCCTTAAGTGTAACCGCTTTACACCCTTTTCACCAAGATGTCCCAAACGATAATGCCAAAGAGTAGACAAATTACCTGTAGCCATTGTAGTTGCAACCATATCACTGATATTATCTCCCTGGAGAAGGTAAAGCGTACCCGTACGTTTTTCCCTTTGCTACTACTCTTGCCCCTGAGGTTATCTTCCACTCTCCGCATCCAAAGGCTGTTACCAAACCTTCTTGATCAAGTTTACTAGTTGAGATCAGATTTTTCTTTAATTCTGGGATATGTCTAGTTTCACGCAAAACTAGACGTCTTCCACCTGAGATGTTCACAATCACAATTCCTTTTCCAACAATTGGACACATATGGCCATTTCCCACAACCACTTGCCCAAAATCTCCACTGGCATAATCAGCAAATATGTCTCTTTGCGAGGTTCAATGGAAAGAAGCACCGGAGTCAATAAACCACTTGTCTGTCGTCAAGTCATACCCCGCAGATAAACACAAGTTCTCTAGCGAAGGTTCATCGCTAACCACATTAGCTCCTTGATTCTCATCCCGCTGCTTCTTTTTGTAGGCCTCACACTGAAACCTCCGATGTCCAGTCTGGTGACAAAACCAACACTCATCTTTTGCGATCTCTCTTTTTCCCCTTGACTGTGATCTACCGCGCCCGCTGAATTTTCCTCTGCTTTTACTTCTCCCACGGTTCTCTACTGCTAGCGCTGTGGAAGATGTAGATGGCGAAAAATTATTTCCACCTGAAACTTTTCTTCGCATCTCTTCATCCATGATACTACTCACAGCATCATCCAGAGTCAAATCATCCTTCATGGTGCTTAAAATTCCCTGCACTGCGGTGTTGTAGCTTTCCGGAAGAGAACATAAAAATAATAAAGCTTGAAGCTTCATATCCAGATTTATGCCTGCGGATTCCAACTGACCCGTGACTTGCGTGAAACTATTAATATGCTTTGCTACGAAACCTTTATCAGATAACTTCATATTAACCAACTTCTTCAGCAAAAACACCTGATTTGATGTGGACTGCTTCTCATATATATTCGTAAGAATATCCATGACTTCTTTTGCAGTTTTTGCTTTCGCGATGTGGTACCCTGTCTTTTTCGTCAACCCTAGACGAATCGCACCTAATGCCTTTCGATCAAGAATTTTCCATCCTGATTCTGCTGTCGGATCCACTTCCGCTATTTCAGGTTTCCAACCCTCAAGTGGCGCATAGAGATCTTTCTGATAAAGATAATCCTCGATTTGGAGTTTCCACCATCCGAAATCCTGCCCGTCGAACTTATCGATCCTGATTTTATCTTCTGCCATATCGTTTGCTTTCAATCAAAAGTCACCGAAAAACCCTTCGATGTTCTCGATTAACTAACCAAGCTCTGATACCAGTTGTTGGGAATCGAGCACCGATTCCAGAAAAATAACCCAAACAAACGATCCTCACTAGCAGAATATAATAATAAAAGAACATAATCGAAAGAATACATCAGAGAATTTGTTATCGAAGTTCACCCAAACCTGGGCTACATCTCCGCGCAGAGGCACTCTGCGAATCCACTAGACTTCGAAGAAAGTAGGAATACAATTATGATCTTCTCTCAAGATCGGAGCACAAAGAGATTGAGAACACTCACAAAGAAAAAAAACTCACTTTTTTTCTTCTCTCTTTCTTTTCTCTCTATTTTCTTCTCGGCGCTTGACTGGCTAACTTCTATCAATAGCGATATATAAAGCGTAGCTTTTAACCTAAAAGCAAAATTAATAGAAAAGACAAAAAAGCCCTTAATAACAATATTTGGCTTCATCCTCCAATAGAAACATATGCTCACCTCGATTAAGTTTCTTCTTGGGGATGCACTTGTGCTGGCGAAGTTGATTATCAAGGCTAAGTTGCCCACGCGATAGGTACTTAAACATCTTCAAGCCGCTGTTCTGTCGAAACTTCTTGGTGTGAATAAAAATGTGCTCAGCGGTCGAAGAGCTTCCAAAAATGCTGAAAGTTTTCTTCCATTGTCCTTTCGAATTGGTTTCTCGTTGATCTCACGGCAAGGATATATTCACCTTGGACACTTCAGTGATCATTTGTATCCACACTCTTTTGCCAGTAAAGTTACATGAAGCATGACAATATTAGGTTGGGGATAATGACACAAATAGTCCCTGAATTTTAGCCTAATGTGCAATTTGATCATTGGACTTTTAATCTGTTCAATGTAGCCCCTGAACTTTAGTCTGATGTTCAATGTAATCCCTGAACTTTTAATTTGTTCAATGTGGTACTTTGACTTTTAGTGCATGTTCAATTTAGTTCCTGAATTATATGAAAATGTTCAATTTAGTCCTTCCATCAATTCAAGTTCAGGGGGACTATATTGAACATTTTCATATAGTTTAAGGACTAAATCGAATATATATCAAAAATCCTGAGGTCACATTGAACAAATTAAAAGTTCAGGGATTATATTGAACATCAAGTCGAAGTTCAGGAACTATATTGAACAAATTAAAAGTTCAGAGATCAAATTGCATATTGGACCAAAGTTTTAGGACTAGTGAACATATCCCAAAAGAAAAACGTTAGATTTGTTAAATTCCTTTTTATGAACGGTATCTTTGAACGGAACATTAGTGTTTTTCCTTAAACCTTGTAATCTTTTCAAATTCCGTCTCTTGGTTTATAACCATCATAATTCCAACTTTACCCTTTCTCAAAACCCACAACCCTCCTTCCTCGGCAAACCCAACACGAACCTCGTCCTCCCCATTTCGGCCTGCGAGTAGCCTGTCGCCGACCGCCGCGTGAAGCTCACCTGCTCACGCCCGCCGCCGAGTTCCAGCCCTTCCTCTCGTCGGACTTCAGATTGGCCCTCGGGCTGTTGCTGCGACCGCCGCCACGCCAACGAGTCCCCCCGCAGCCTCTGTCAAACCTGCCCCAATGACGAGACCATATGCCGAAACCACAGACCGAGCGTCGGCCTCCGCGGCGGTGGCCGAAATAGACCATTTGCCCGAGGATATCGTCATCCAGATATTGTCGTGGCTACCGGCCAAGTCCTTGATGCGATTCAAGTGCGTCAGCAAACGATGGCGGTCTCTTATTTCCGATCCAGGCTTCGCCAGGTCGCATCTGCAAGCCCTGAAGACAGGAGGGGATTTGATTGCTAGCCAGAGAATCGTCAAGATTAACCCCCTCGAGACCCTAGACTACCACGGGTTCGACGACCGCCCGCTGCTGAAGCTTCATAGTCCAAGAATGGCCGGCTGCGATCCCGGCCTCGTGGGGTCTTGCGATGGCTTGGTATGTTTATCTGTCGATACCGGCGGATATCTCCTATTCAACCCGACCACCGGGGAGTCCAGGTATATTCCCGGTTCGGATCTTGTTGCAAAAGGTCATGTGTTCCTTGGATTCGGATACGATCCTGTGTCTGATGACTATAAGATAGTACGCGGTGACGGTGTTGAAGTATGTGAGGTGGTGATATTTTCGCTCAAGTCCGGTTCTTGGAGAAGGATACTAATCCAACGAGATAGCCACTTGTTCGTGTTTTACCGAGGTCTTTATTGGAACGGGGCCTTACACTGGTGTGTGGACGACCAGAGGAGTAACAAGACAAAGAGTGTGATTGTGTCATTTGATTTGTCTGAAGAGAAATTCCGCCGGATGCTCCCAGTCCCCAAAATAGACGGGGACATACTCTTCGATGGTCTCGGTATTCACGGGGCCAATCTGTTTATATACAGTTGGTATGCTGACTGCTTCATGGCATGGATAACAAAGGAGTATGGGAGAGGAGGATCGTGGACAAAATTGTTCAGCCTTTCGACTAAAGGCATTCCTGGTGAATATTGGAAGATCCCCGTCGCATACACAAGGAGCGGACAAATTGTTTTCGAGATCGATGTTCACAACATGATTCTGTTCAATCCAGAAGATAATACTTACAAGGATTATCATCCCATTGCGGAGAGTGACGAATCTGCTATCTATGTGGAAACTCTTGTTTCTCCCTATCTCGGATGCGAGCCATCAAGAATCTAGAGCTTTTAAGAGTTGTTTTAGTGGATTTGGTTTAACCGTTTTCATAGGAGTTCCATCTTGGGCTGTTGAATGACCTTATTGAATTTGAAGAAGACAGAAAAGACATTGTCTGAGACTATAGCCATTCGTTAGTAGATTTACTATTGCGCTTTTACTCTGTCCTCTCCAGATGTTTGGTTAGATGTATGCTTGATGAATGGCCGTTCAATCATCCTGTTTTGCTAGAATAATCACTTCACTAGCTAATGTTGTCCGATCTGATATTGTGTAATTTCACCAACCGTTTACTGGGTCTTGTTATGTAGTTAACATTCAATTATAATCATGTGAATGTTAAACCTTGTGCTGTTTTCTTTTTCTCTTGTCGTGAACAGGATCCTCAAAATCCTGGTCGCAATCGTGGATTTGCTTTGTACTAAAGTAACGTATGTGCTCTGACTATTCAAGGCAAAAAATGGCAAGTTCTAATTTCAAGCTGGATGGAATTACCCTTACCGTCACATGGGCTGATCCAAAGAGTGCACCTGACTTAACTGACTAATTTACTTTTTACAGCTTCGATCAATAGAATAGTATCTATTTTGTTATCTTGCATTTTTTAGAACATTGTATCTTCCTTCTTGGCTCTTGAATGCTGTTATGTCGGCATTGATGTGAATACTCACAATATTTGAGGAGTCTTGGCAAACAACTGGAATAGCTAACCAGTATCATATCTTTGGCATGTGAGTGAAAATTCTTAGGTAATAAATTATCACGACACGATGCCTTTGCCAGTTCTTTGTAGGATACAAGCGTATTCAGCACCTTCATATGAGATATTTTCTCGTCCTGTTCATGTATGTATGCTTGTCTTCTATTAGATGATTGGTATCCTGACAAAGCACACAGTCTTGCGCAGCTACTTGAGGTTCTTCTCAACCGCTGATCATTTAGAATGAGTGTTTCCTCTCTAAAAAATGCTGGGCGTGTAGGAGCAGTCTGTGCTACGAGTTCTGAAGGTGTGTATCATCAACTAGTTTTTTTGAACTAATGAGGATCTATCATTTACGGTCATCACATGTTTTTCGACAATAGAATGAGTTATACTCACAAAACACCTGTTGCTATAGGTGCTTGCTGTCATTGGAATGTTGTCATGGTGTCTTGGTGCTCCACTTTTCATTGCTTGTGCTTCCAAACAGTTTGATAGAATTCATTGATCGCAAATGTTTGTGTGATCAAGGCTTGTTTTTTTACGAGGAGTAAGGCTAATGGAATGGGATTGAGATCTTCATTTCCTTTCCCTAGGTCGTTTGGGAACTTGGAATTAAGAGGAATGTATACCAAATGTTGGAAGGAAAGAGCTTCATTACTATGTTTTCACATGGGGGGTTAAGGGTATTGATGGGAATGAATGAGTAGAAATAAGCAGACCCAAAAGAAAAGTTAAGTTTGTGTACCAAATCTTTAAGAGTACCAATGTGGGGTTAAGTAGTTATGATTCAAACCTTGAGTGTTTTGTAGGAGGTGTGAAACTCCGATGGCAACATCCAAGTGGTTGTTACACGATTGCCCTTTTCCAACCTTTTACTCACTAATAAGACATGCAAGTTGCTAAACAAGAAAATTGGAGAAACGTTCATCCTATGGAATATTGCAAGTTTGTCAATTGTGTCCTCTCTCTCTCTCTCTCTCTCTCTCTCTCTCTCCTTTTTATTTTTATTATTTATTTTCTGTACTCTTTGGGTGCAAGGGTGTGTTTGGGGCTGGGATAGTGCAGGGAACTTTTGAGAGGAACAATTGGTTCAGTTGCTCCAGGTATGTCCCCTTGTGTCCCTAGCTCCCTCAAGTGAAGAATTTGTTCATCATAAAATTGTTGATGCGTCTTTTTTCAAAACTTTGAACTTTATGATGAGATTGTGCACGCGCTGTTTTCTCATAGCTCAACCATTTGTGGTTCTTGATAAGTGTAGAATATGGAATGGGAAGTGGGGTTTCTATTAAATGGGATGTCTATAGTTATGGCATCCTCTTGCTAGATGCTCACAAAAATCAGTTCCACGGCTGAGATATTCAAAGAAAATTTCAACCTTCATAATTTTGTGGAGGAAGCTTTGCCTGAACAAGTTTTAGAGATTACCGATCTCATTCTAATTCAAGTAGTGAAGAACGATGCTTGCCAAAGGAGAAAAAGTATACTCCAGGATTGTCTGCTAATGATCTACCTCCTCAGTTGGAGTCCCGAGAGAAAGAATGAGCATCACAGATATAGCAGCTCAACTATGTTCAATTAGGGACTGACTTTACGCAGCTGGTTTATGAGGATAGGTGATATACTAAAACAGTAAGCTTTCTAGTAGCTCCTACAAATTATGCAAAAATCGAACCACTTATGCATAGACAAGCGCCTGACTTCACGCATCTTTTTGAATCCAGGATAACTTGAAGTTCTGGTATTGTGAAGATGGATTCATGGAGGTAACAGAGTCATCATGCAGAACCATAGTGGGGTTGAAAAGATAGTGAAGTCATCCAATGAACTATGGCAATATAGGAACCTGTAGTCTAACTCAAAGTCGATGGCAATGTCTTCGTCCTATTCGGGAGGTAGGGAGACGTGGCAGGAGGGCCTCATCTCTTATGCAAACGTGGGACAAATGCTTCTCTAATGTGTTGTGAGGTTGGTGAATCGAGTTCTAATATAGACTATGAATAGTTTAGACCGTGAAGAACCAAGGTGTGTTTTGATGTTCCTTTGAAACGAAAGTAGGCGTGTAAGAAAAGAAGTATTAGGGATGATGCTGTCATCTATACAGCCATACTGTATAAAAGAAAAGGCATACATGCAAGCCTGTATATGTCTCTTAAAGCTATGCGAGCAAGTACATTTGTCCTTTTCGTCTTTTATGCCATTTTAAATATTTCGATCTGTAAATACAAGTAGACATCATGCTTGTACATCCCACACAATGTCTACGTCTATCGAGAAAGACCGATGTATTTTATTTGATATAACTCTAAATGAGGTTTCACTTTTATAATTATAGATATCATAAGCTAAACTATACTTAAAATGAAATTATCAAAGACCAAAAAAGATAATGCAAAGATAATATAGTTTTGTTGATTTAGACAAATGATTGAAGTGAAAAGATAATCTTAAAATTCGAGCAATGTATAGTAATGAAAACTTGTGAGTAGTAGCGAAGTACTGATACTTAAATGAGAGTGGAGAGTTGCCGATCCAAAACAAGTTGATAACTTAATTGAAGAGAGGTTGATAAGTCCTTGGTTTGTAAATATTAAAAACCGTTGATAAATTAAAAGAGTTGCTAAGAAATGCAAATATAACATTTGCAAACGCTAAGAAAAGTAATTAAATAAAAACAAATTAATGCGGTAAGTAACTTTTATTAGAGTTGGTAAGGCAATACTATGTGGAAATTTAATGGGAGAAAAGTTAGTGAGTTATGCCAATTTTGGTTGGTAATCTCTAAAAAGGTTTATACATCGCCAACTAATCAAAGAAAAGTTGGTAACTCAATAAAAGAGCTTGTAAATTATAAAAAAAATCAAACATCGGTAAGTACCTCATATTAAAGTCAGTAATCCAAGCTCATTGGTGATTAATGATTTACACTGACAAAAGTTATCAAGTGACTCTAATTTAGATAAGTAAATTCGTACTAATTTAGAATTCTGCAGACCAAAATTGGGCCCATCAAGCACTCTCCATCTTATTGCTTTACTTCAACTTCTTCGCATAACAGTGACAGGGAAGGTCATCAATCATGATCAAATCTCCAAATAACGCAACATTCATTCAGAACAAGACAACAAACTAGAAGGAAAAGAGTGGGACTGAGTCAAGTTTTATTCAGGAAGCTCTGATTTAGGAACTCCAAGAATCAACCAGTGCACAATTCTAGATACACATTAATTTTCTTCCCCTCTTCTATATGTGTTAAATTATCATAAATCTGCAAAAAGATTGTATGTCTTGGAATCTACAGCAATAAGCCTCAAGGCCGCGATTGCTGCTGCAACTGACATACACCCAAAGAAACAGACATTGAGCCAATGCCATGACTTCTGTACGGAAGACATCTTGTTCTGCTTCGCCATCAAGTACATATGGTTAGCGAGGATGAACGTGAGAGGGAAGGTACTTATCGCCCCCGTGAGGCTCTCGAAGTCGCCGAGGAAAGGGAGGAGGGCCGCGACCAGCGTGTTTATGGTGAGATATCCGCCTCTCACAAGAATCCTAAACGACAAGTTCTTGAATTGCAAAGCGCTCCCGGTGATGCCGAAGCGGGTATCCATGTACTCGTACATTGGACTAGCAAAAATCTGCAGAAGAGAAAGGACGATTAAAAGGGTCAGAGCTAGACTAAAGATGGAGAAAATTGAAAAGTCTCAATGTAACTTTGAGAAAACACAAGGATAGGCGAAATGTAATTATGGAGACGATGAAACAAATTTGAAGAGGGTAAGACGAGATACATGCAACGCAATGACTGTTTGCAGGAAGGCGGAAATGTTGGCTAATGCCTTCACCCAAACTGGACCGTTGACGCTGTTGAGCAAATAGGACGAGGTTGAGGACCCATAGGCCCAGTATCCTACGAATGTGACTGCATACATAGGTAAACATCCAACGGTGAACTGAAAGTAGAGAGATTTCAGCATGTTCTTCACAGCAGGTTCTCTCACCGTTGCCTGTCAGATAGACATGACAACGAACATTAAGGCACCTATGTATATTGTAGATTTGATGACAGAAGAAATTTAAGCAGCATCTCTCCATCTAGCAGATGATGGACAAAAATTTCAGCAGTGTTCATGAGAATGGGGAGTCGCCATTGAATGGCTGTTTGGTGTTCGTCAACGGAGGAAAATATTTCAATCATACTTCAACTATAATAGAATCAGATTGTGCTCCATCTATATTGATCAGAAGAGACATAGAGGTCATTCCCAAGTATAATAATCAGCTCTATTGGTATAAGCACTCGCTCTAAACTCCAGTAAGCAAAGATGGTTTTCATGCTCGTTCTGTAAACTTGTCTTTTCTCTTTAAAGTTCAAAGATTCAACTTTAAAGAGTACCTGAATCTCTGGAAGCATTCCTGTATTATATGCAAAAACGAGATTTGCTGCAGCACCGATGGTTGTAAAGATTTTGCCCGTTTTATCTCCTGGTATGCTATAATCTCTGGCAGGAGAATTTAGGCCTATAAAACCAAGAACAACGTTAATAATTTCCATGTTATTAAGAGAGCCTTTTCTTCAGAAAATAGGATAGAATTGCAACATATTTCCACCACATAATACAGTCCGCAAAATATTATAGTTAAGATGTCACAATAGACATGGCTTGATTGCAGTTAAAGCATTCAACCAAAAGAAGATATCCTATTCACGGCAAACTATAGGGCTTGATGTGACAGCTTTCAGAAAGGCATTTCCTTCAATCATTCATTGGTCAATTGGGACAAGTTCAAGGAGAGAGAATTGCAGCAATTTTCAATTGACGATATGTATAATCAACTAATGAGTAATTGGGAAACTAATGGGAAGAAACTAGGTGTATACATCAGCTATTCCTGAGAAACTTGAACAGATAGATATGTAAGATCAGATTGTGTAGACACAAACAGGACAGATGGTGCTACGCTCGGCACTGAAAATAGCATTCCATTTCAGTTTTTCTTTTCACTTTTCTTCGATCAAAAGATGTGGCGATTTCATGCCAGCCCATTCTGGTATATATTAGACAAGCTAGATAGCTAAAACTTCCAGATTCAATGCACATGCAAGCACAATTTTGCAGGCCAAGGACAGAGGCAAAAGAAAAGCCCAGGAGTCCCGATAGGCAAACTATGGAATACTTTGTATCAATAGGGTACTGTAATGTCAACTTACCATCTCGTAGAGCCAGTACAAATGCTGTAACAATATAAACCAGACTGAGAACTGTGGAAACTCCCAGCCAGATCCTCAAAGCTGATAAATAAGGTATCCCGATGGCAAACAAGGCACAGACAAAACCCACAATGGCAATGAAGTAAGGAAGCTTCATCACATGGTCATCCCGGAAGAGAACATAAACAGCCTGCATAATGATGACGAGGACATAAAAACAAATATTACATCAAGTGATCATTGCGAAAGATAAATAATTCGAAACAGCAGCAGGAACCATGGGATTTTTTCCCTGTTTCCTCCAAAATTGCATGATTCTTTGATTCACTTGTGATGGAGTTCAACAGTAAGAAAAATTTTGGCAAGTAGATTTTCCCTCCACTTGATTTTACCTTCAGAGCCTCACCAGCCAAAATGATAAATCCAGTGTTTATCATGAAGAGATTAACATACTGTAATCCCCATGTAAGAGAATAAGCTTTCCTACCTGCAGCAGGCAAGAGAAGAATAAGGTTCATTTCTACATCAGGAGACGTTTTAGTAACGAGAGATAACAAAGATTCGTCCTGTTTGCTCTCGTACCATAAATATGTCCAGCAAGGTCTCTATATCTAATGTGCCTCTTTCCACCAAATTCATGAAGCTTAGCAATGAGAACATTCGCATTCAACGAAATAGCTGCTGCAGCAATTAATCCAAGTACTCCAGGGACCCAGCCAAGAGGAACCATGATGGTTCCTGAATATCCAAGAACAAAAACACTGTTGACGCCAGTGGTTAGGACAAATGCTGCCTGGAACCATGAATCTGCAACATGCCAGGAAAAGCTAATCGGAAACGTGAAATATTAATCAAAACAAGCTAGAATTTTCAAAATGACTAAACATGGCAGAAAAGATAAATGTTGAGCGTTCATACTGTAATCAATATACTAGGTACAAGGGCAAGCATGCCCTCCCTTCTTCTAATACTGTTGATTGATTAAAATTCAGGAAGTGGCCATTTATCATTCCTTCCACCTCAGCTCTTCCCTCGAATCCAAACAGAATACCATGCGGGTGCAACCAAACAAAAAAACATTACAAAAGAACACCGTTTCTGCTGCAGAACAATAGAATGCCCAAAGATAACTTACATCTACTCCACAGATTAACTTCACCCTTTTTACCTCCAATCCTCCTCTTCTAACTCATGAAAGCAGGACAACATTCAACAAGAAATTAAGTTCAATATTTTCCCTGCTTTAGCAACATCAGCAACGTTGATTGAAACAAAAACATCACCTCCCACCACATCATAAAATCCCTTTTTTCCATCATGCCGACCCTCTCCAACCATTCAAAGTATCAATAGCCATAGCAAGCACCTGATAAATCTATACTCCTCTCTTGCTGACTTATCAAGGAAAATGCACTTTTAACAACAAATAAGGGTACACCGGAAAATCCCATCATCCCAAATACTAATAAGCATAATTGGACACCGCCAGCTCCAAGAAATCACATTGCTGAGCATAGACAAAGCGGTACTCAAAGACAAAAAATCGGTCCTTTTTGCACGAAAATGGAGGCAAAAGGAAGAAAGAAAAAGTGGTGAAATTTCATCTTGGAATGTGCCCTTTTTCCATCAAGTGCTGACTAGTAAGTACAACGTATGGATCCCTCGGAAAGAGCTGTTCACCTTCCAAAGGAGAAACATACACAAACAGAGCTACAAAAGTAGAAGCAACCCAATTGCAAATATTGGCAAAGGTCCCCTAGAAAGAGCAAGCCAAGGGAAAACACCAGAAAATCCCACTTTTTCCCTCCACAGAAATTGGATGCTGGCCAAGCTAATCCAAACCTGTAGATAAAGGCAGGAAAAAAAATAAAACAGGAACAAGAACAATCACGTTCGTGCTGTACCTCTGCTAATGAGATGCGCAGTTTCTGGCATCTCAACGCCCTCAAAATGCTCATCATCGTGGCCCTTCCTCGAACCCACATCACCACCCCCCTCCATTGTCATTTCCTCCTCTCCTTCACAGACTCCACCGCCACTCTCCAGGAGCAATTCCTCCGCCTCCTCCGAAATGCCTGTTCTCGTTGTCACAGCCAGCGTATCTTGCCTCCGCTTCCCCACCCTCGTATTTAAGGGCGAGAAGTAATCGCAGCCAGCCAGAAGACCCGCCCCAGAAAAGAAAGTTGTCCAATGAGAACCGAAAATAATTAAAACAGCGGGCCCAAATTGGAAAGCTGATAAAATTTCGTGATTATTCACTCAATGACATCCACAGGATCAAAAAGCGAGACCCTTTAGATTTCTCCTGTATTGGCATAGTTGCCCATCACAGAGAGAAGTGGAGATTAATGCGCGCGCTTCCAAAGAATGGCGCAGTGTTGTGGGATTGGTTACGGAGAGGGAGCTTTCTGAATTTTCGCGCGTCGGCAACAAGGACCGCTCCGTGGGGACCACCGACCGATTCAGTGCGCTCGCGGGTGTTCGTGGCTCGTGGGGCTTTTCGGACTTTCCGAGGCCGATGAGTTCGGGATTCGTCGGTTACGGTTGGGCGCTGAGGCGGGGGGGCGGGGGGGAGGTCGGGTCGATCCTCGCGATCAACCTACGGGTGGAACGGACGCCACGTCATGCGGAGCGGTCGGATGCTCTGCACCTGCAGCACCCTGCAGCAGAAATGTCGCAGGTCAGCCGACGGGGATCTAAGCATGGTGGCTGTGGCTGATACCCAGGATGATGTAATCAAGTGCGGTTTATCACGTGAACCCCCACACGTTAATCATTCTTTACTCGGTACTTAGTGCTCCTTATTTTACTTTTTGTGTTTGGCATGTAGAACTGCTGTGTCCGAGGCAAATGGGTTAGTGGGATGAACATTGATTGAACGTGCTGTGAAATCCATGTCGTGTCAGATTTGGTCGCCAAAGGTGCAGGTGATTCAGCTGCCGCTAAGAAGGAGCATGCTTGACGCAAGCGACGAGCGCCTGTTCATGGACTGCTCCATGAATTCATCTTTGCTTTAATGTCAAAAGTTAGCGCAGTTGAGATGGACTTAAACCCACCTCCTTAGAGAGAAAATTCTTCTCAGATACAGGGGTAGGGGCCCGTCCACCGTGCTGTCACGCCGCCCGAGGGAAAATTGTTTTTATACAGCGATCGTGTCATGAGATAATAATACCTAGGAAAGCCGGTTATCGTAGAATGAATGTCTCGAATTTAGAATGCAAAATTCACTTGCATATGTATCACGTGAATAATGTGGTTGATTGGTTACACCACGTTGATTTTGCAAGCGATGTGTGCTTTTTATTTCTTTATTTCTTTTCTTTCTTTTTTCCTTCCCTCCCTTCTTCTTCTAACTGGTTACTAGACCTTGGTAAACAACTAGAGGCCAGGACTGGCAAGGTCGACCTCGTCGGCCTCTGACGGCTCAAGCCCTCTCCAGAGGATGCTCGGTCGAAGTCGCGGCCTCTAGTGAGGCTCACCTTCGCCGGCCTTGGCCTCTAGCCGGTCGCTGGAGGGAGGGGAGGAAAAAAAAAAAGAAAAAAAAAATAAATACAAAATTTGAGAAATATTAAAATATTATCAAAAGTTGTCCACGTCAGTGTTGGCATGCCACGTAAGCCGCCCGGCATCCAGGTCAGCAATATCTATCCAAAAATTAACCAGAAAGACTGAATTTGCATTATATCTAAAGATTTAAGATTAAATTGACACAAATATAAATTTTTCTAGACACTTCCCCCTTGTATAGTGGCAAAAGATCCGCCCTTACCTTACAAAAAAAAAAAGAGAAAAAAAAAGATCTGCCCTTATATAGGACTGTCAATTCGCGTGATCCTTATGGAGCGCATCATTGGCTGGGTGGACTGATATTCAAAGCAATCATTCACTCGGATTTCTTTAGTCTTAAATGAGGACGCTTTGGAAATAATCGCGTCACGATAGATTATCGATCTCAATCACTGCCCTTCATGGGTTTGGACCGTTGTTTTAAAATAATGAAGCAATACGAGTGGCACAAATGCACCAAAGGTCACGGACAGACGAGACGACGCCCTCCACTATGAAAAAGGAAGAGCAACATTGTTGATGTTGAGCAATGACGCTGCATATACTTTCTGTAAAGAAGAAAGAGGAGTACTGCTCTAGTTTTTTGGTGGATATATTATTATTCAAACGTCAGGGGAAAGCTAATCGAGGATAAAGAGCCATCTTTTCGAGGTCGCACTACGAGTCTGGTGCTTTATATACATACATATATATATATATAGGGCAAAAGCTACAAAAAAATCTTAAATTATATCCATTGTAGTATATTTATTCTAAACTTTTTTTTCCGTGTGTATGACACATTTACCTTCCTTTAAAGGTCTATAAATAAGAATCGTTAAAAATTTGCCCACATGGACTCTAGAAAGAAAACGGTGTTGACATGGTACTTACATGACTTAAGTAAAATAAAAAATTTTGGCTGAAAAATCATGTGACAAAACCTTGATGGAGGGTAAATGTGTCGCATAGGTACAAATTTAAGATTTTTTATGTCACTAGAAAAAAAGTTTATGGTAAATGTGTCACGATGGGCAAAGTTTGGGATTTTTTATGTCACAAAAAGTTCACGGTAAATGTATCACAGTAAGTATAGTTTAAAGTTTTTTGTGACTTAAGTAAGGAATAATTGTCCCACTTGCCAAAACTACTTTCATATGGCATAACAAGAATATCAGCATCAATCTTTTGTTTGCTCTTTAAACGTCAGGGGGAAGCGAATCGAGGGCAAAGCGCCGTCTTTTCGAGGTCACTCGAGTCCACTGCTTTATATACATATATACAATATAGAAGGCGAAAGCCATCAAAACCCTAAATAATACCCACTGTGATACATTTACCTTAAATTTTTTTCCGTAACACAAAAAATTTCAAATTATACCTATTTGACACATTTATCCTCATTTAAAGTTTCATCAACGAAACCAGTTAAAAATCTGCCTATATAAACGCTAGAAAGCAAACGGTATTGACATGACATTGAAGTGAAATAAAAACGACCTTATTTTGGCTGAAAAAAATCATCCGACAGAACCTTGACGGAGGGAGGATAAATGTGTTACATAGGTATAATAAATTTGGATTTTTTTATGTCACGAGAAAAAATTTAGGGTAAATGTGTCACGGTGGCATAGTTTGTGATTTTTTATGCCACGAAAAAAAGTTTACGATAAATGTGTCACAGTGAGTATAGTTTGAAGTTTTTTTGTGGCTTTTTCCATATATCTAAGCAGGGAATAATTGCTCCACTTCCTAAAACTGCTTTCATATGGCATAAACCAGCAAGAATATCAGCATCAATCTTTTGTTGCCCTTTAAACTTAAATTAAAGAACAGTGTGGAGTTTCAAGAGCCATTTCAAAACGAGGGAAAGATGGTCACAGAGAGCACCATCGGAAGGGTTAAGACATTGGCATATTCTGCTGCAGGCGCTTGGTGGAGTCAGAGGCAATATACGCCTACATCAGGTTCGCCTTTCCGGCGAAATAAGTCGGATCCATTCTCTTCCGTCAGCGCAGATGTTCCAAATCTACAGAGCACGGTCATTGAAGAATTACGTCGTCTTCAGATAACATGACATGTAGGCACCTAACTTATAAGCCTTTTGTGATTCCTTAACCGGGATACCCTCGCATACCGATTACAGAGCGAAACCGACACATCGGATTCTCGTGCCCACAGAGAAGAGATTTTTGCTTTCTTCAGGGATCAAATTCTCGACAGCTACATGTCCCAAGCCTCTTCCCACTCGCGACCCCTAATACGAGAAGGATCTTTAACCAAAATGCTCAGATAGGAACAGGGCAACAGCTGCATGATAGCGACCTAGATACTTAAACCACTTATTGAGATTGTCCCGTTGTCTCTAATCTCGGAGAGCAACGGGACAGGACAAATTGGAGTTGTGAATGTGCTCTTCTTGCCCCCAGGAGAGTGGCTGACGGCGACCTGACGGCCCGAGGATATCTGCAAATAGAGAAGTCCCTTCTAGGGGCTGCAAGGAGGAGGAGTTTACGTCTTGGTAGGTATCAGAATAGATACGACCAAGGACAGGATAATAGGAACAGTACCGATACTACTGTGACCTTTCTTATGTTTCTGTTTCTTTCGCCAGAGATGGTAGCCCTTTCATCTTTTTGCTCTATCTTTTATGATGCCGTTTCTTGGTTCAACAAGAAGGGCTTCTAGGGGCCCTCGAGCAGCCGATACCCCTCGTAGCGCGTCGTACTCAAGCATATTTCGTTGTGATTCCTATACAAAGTGTCCTGGTAAGGCTAGAATCTATTTATCAACGGTTATCAATCATCTAAAGAACAGTTTCTCGAACTACCCCCTCAACGGGACTCAAGATCCTAACCATTCAAGTGGCCATACAAAGAACAGATAGAGGTAATTTCTCCAGTGGGCCTTGTGAGCCCACCGTCCTCAACTTGGGAAATTTCAACTCGACTTTCTTCCTCCCTAAGGCCCGCAAAAGGTTACAGAGATGGAAGTACACCACTTTCAATTTCATCAGTCGCTAGTTAAGATATTTCAAGCATCTCGACATAGCAAACTCCACCAGATTTATATATCATATGATTACTCATAAGTAATTGGTGCAACAAAAGATCCGTGGATCGAAATTTACTTGTTTTCCTTCACACAGAAAATCATGAGAAGTGGAAACAGAGAACCAAGAAGTTGATTGAATCGAATTCGCAGTCAGATGAAAACTTACTCATCTCACCAAAAAAGGGAAAAGGAACTCAATTAGCCTTGTCTTGTTCGCCAAAAGGTAAGAATAAGACAATGGCTGCAAGCAACATTAACCACGGCATCACAGCCGAGGTGTTCCTAACTAAATTCTTGTTGTTTATTCCAATCTCAACCCACAAACTGTCATGACGATCATTGATAAATAAGAAAGGGTAGAACTATGGGTTCAGTGAATAACATTGTTCTTTCGAATCCTACAATGCCTACACTCAAGTAGAAGGGTTGTATCTCCACTAAAATTGCCATGTTCACCAGAAGCCACACTAGCTAGCGCTAACAACCTACATAGCGAAGCTTGTTTTGCCTCGTCCATATAGAGAACACGAATTCTCGTGGAGTAGCCACATTTTCCTATAACGTGTTTAAGTTTCCTCAGGGGCTGCAGAAGTAGACATTGGACGTGGATATGCACCGGAGAAGTGTTAAGAACAAAGCTAGGCTTACCAAAAAGGGGAGAAGGAAGAATAAGTGAAATGCCTAGAGGGAAACGGGGGAGAGAAAGAGGTCAAAGACCAAAAAGTGATGCATCTAACCTTTGTAAATAGATGGAAAACAAGAACATGAAACACCTGCAGCTACAGAAAATGCATTGATTTCTCTTGGCACAGTTCCAAGGAAAGGATAACTAGTTCACATGATCACAAACCCGCCACAAGCAGCTACACACCGTGGTTTCTATTCATACGTGAGCACCTAAACACATATGCGTAATTCCTTTCACAGAAGGAGCTACAAGTTCACTAGATCCGTAGAGCGAAATGAAGGTAACAACAATACCCGAGACCAGCATGTACAAAGCATTCGGCTCATAACTCAATGCTTACCACCTTCGACGTCCTCCCTCACGACCACATTGATCTTCTCGTATTTGAAGTCCACGGGATGCACGGGACATTCCACCGGAAATACAGTGTGCCTATTAGCAACAAATGCCCACAGAAAGAGCCCCAAGAATGCCAATAATGCTCCACACCCCGCGGCGAAAATTACCCCGGCAAGGATCGCCAAAGGACACCTGCCTCTCTTGCGCAACTTTCCGTGCTCGCCAGACTGGCCGTGTGGATCAGCAGGTAACGAATGCATCGACAGCGGAACTTTCCTCGGCTTGAACCTCCACGAGTATACACTAATGGTCTGCACCGAATTCCCATTCGACGAGCTTATACCGACATAAACATCCTCATCTCTCCACATTCGCAGCATGTCGATCGAGTATGCAATGATTGGATCATATGGTCTTGGATCCCTAAACTTACTCAGCCTAACCTCAAGCCTTTTCGAGCTCCCGTCGTAATCCACCCACGACTTCAATTTCTCTCCACTGCTCAGCACTAAGCCTACAGACGACACATTGCAGACGCTAACAGACGCGAAACTGCCCAAATCCACACCTACATGGTTCGCATTCACATCGCCTACTTCCTCATCCACCGAAGTATCGTACTCGACGCCGACAAACCTGCGATCCCCGGAGAGGCCGAACGCTTCCGCTCCGAGCTTAAAATCCCGAGGGAGAAGCACGAGAGCGAGGCCGTCGCCGTTACCGGGCGAGACGGAGAAGGCGAACTCGGACGAGAACGAGGTCGGGGCGGCCGAGCTCGGGTCGACGAACCGGAAGGGCTTCGGCCACTGGAGGAAGCCGGAGCTGGAGGCCGAGGGGCGCGTGATCCTCACGTGAGGCCCCCCGGAGGCTCCGGCGCCGGCGGCCAGGGCGGCGTCGCCGAGGAGGGAGATGCCGTCGTCGAATCCGGGGAGGCCGGCTAGGGTTCCGGGCGCGAGGGAGAGGGAGGCAGAGGCCCTGGCCAGGGCGAGCAAGGGGACGACAATGTGGACGATCAGGAGGCGAGAGGAGGCGAGAGCGGAAGGTCTGGACATGGCGATGCGTTCGGGAGCTGGAGCTGGAACTGGAGCTGGAGTGTGGTTTCAGTTGCAGAGACGGAGAGAGAAATGCAGAAGAAAGAAGCACGGAAAGGAACAAGACGATTCAATTCCTTCTATGCGCGTGGGGGTGGAAGTACGGATTTGAAGGATTGTTCTGGGCTCATGAGAGGCCCGGAAAGCAAGACTATGGCTAGCCCATTAGTACATGGGCCTGACCTTGCTATTGACTTTTTTTAATAGGGTCGTTCCTCTTTGAGTGACCCGGTCATTGGGCGGACCGGTCCTTGCACAAAGGCACTGGGGGCGTCAACGATTTGGGGTTTTCATAAACTCGAACCGAACAGAACCATTTGGGTGTATGTTACCTTTGAACCAAATCGCAGCCCAAACCGAAACCAGGTTCAGTACGGTTTTTCGATTTCCTTTTTGTTATATTAAGAAGAGGTTTAGCAAAAAGGAGAGAAATTGTTTAAATTGTGATATTAAGGAAATGAGCGATTTTCAGTTCGGAAACTGAAACTATTCGAACTGGAATAAAAAAATGGTTACTCTTTTTTCAATATCCAAAACAAAACCTGAACCAAACGGAAAATGCACAAAATTTTAGTTCGATTCCTATTTTGATTCAATTTTCCAATTCGATTCTGACAACCGTACCTCGTACAAGTCCAAAATCCTCGTGTATTGTGGATTGATATTGGGGGTGAGCATATGTCCCAATTCAATTTAGGAATTAGCCAAATCGAATTTGAACAGATCAATTCAAGCCCCGTTCTCAGGTGAACTAGGTGGGTTCATGAGTAAAAACCCCGGGGTTAGTTATTTTCTGAACTGCTAGTGTAAAATCGATTTTTGATGGGTTCTAATCTTAATTAAAAGACATATCTAAAAGTTGGTTGCTAAATAGATTTGATCCAAGGTGACTTAGGGTGCATTTGGTAATATTTCTATTCCCGGGAACGATTTCTTTTCAGAAATAATTTTTTCTATTTATACTCCCTTTACCAGTTTCTAAGTAAAGAATGTGTTTGGTATGTAGCCAAAATTTCTATTCTCATAATAGAAAACGAATAAATAAGCGTTTGGTGCGATCCTAATTTTTTTTTTGGACGCGAAATTTCTTTTAATTTTTTAATAATTTTCTAAGATTTTTCTAATCTTTTAATTTATTTTCTGTTTTTTCCTCCTTTCTTCTTCCTCCTCTAACCAGTCGTTAGGCCTTGGTGATGGTTGATGACCTGCTAGAGACAAGGGTCGCCCTCGGGTGAGCCTCGCCTAGCCACCGCAAGGTCGGCTTCGCCTAGCCATGACGAGGCTGAGCCTCGTCGAGGCTCGGCGACCGGCCAGAGGAGGAAGAAGAAGGAAGGAAGGAAAAAAAGAAAAAAAAGAAAATGACATTGTTTCAGAGATTGTTCTCGTAAACAAAGAAGTATATTATTTTTACTTTTTAATTATGTTCCAAATTTATTCCTTGGCCACTTTTCTATTCCAAGGAATAGAAAAATTAACCGACATTATCAAATGGATTTATGTTTTTTTTTTTTCTATTACTGGGCCCATGAGAGGCCCTGAAAGCAAAACTATGGCTAGTCCATTAGTACATGGGCCTGCGAATATGGGCCTGACCTTGCCATTGACTTTCCGAATAGGGTCGTTTCTCTTTGACCCAGTTAGTGGTCGAACCGGACCTCGCACCGCTCCAAGATCCCTGTGTCTTTGTGGATTGTGATTAGGAGTGAGCATAAGTCCCGATTCAACTTGGGAACCAGCCGAACCGGATTGAACATATTGGTTCAAGCCTCGTTTTCAGTGAACTAGGTGGGCTCATGAGTAAAAACCTGGAGATTAGTTATTTTCTGCACTACTAGACTACTAGTGTGAAATCGATTTTTGACGAGTTCTAATCTTATTTAGAAGATATATTAAAAAGTTGCTGCTAGAGAGATTTGATCCAAGGTGACTTAGAAAGTATCGAAGTGCCACCATTATTTTACCAAGAGAAGTTAATGTTTCAATTTTACCAAAATTATAAATTCTATATGTTAAAAACTAAAAAATCTATATACTTGTGACCTAGTTCTCGGGCCTAGCCTTTTTTTTTTGGTCAGGAATACTAAATAACTCAAAGAAAGTCTGTTGACATCATAAACTAACATAGGTTACAGGGTTAAGACAGCCAATTATGGAGTTCTTTTTTCCGCTAGGCCTTAATCACTCAATTTGCTAGCTTGTTTGCCTCTCTTGGACGATGGGTCTGACCATAAAATCAAGATGGGCTAGCTTTGCTTTGCATTCATCAATCCAGGCCCGAATATCCCATGGGCAATGCTCCCCGTTCCTTAGACAGCTAACTGTCAAAGTACAATCTATTTGTATTTCGACCTTTGCCGCACAAAAATCCTCTCAGTAGCACCCTTCCTCTACTACAAACCGAAGACAACTGAGCAGTGCTAGGGTTTCAGCCACCAAGATCGATCCAGCAAGAACTGAGATTGCGAAACCGTGGTCGTGCATCGCCCCTGTGACGGCTGAGTCTGATGAACCCTTTGATTTTGAGCAATCATCGTTGATTTTGAGAGAATCCTTTGCCGGTGGCTGCCAAGCAGGAGGTAAGCGAGCTTCTTGTTCCATTTTCCTTTCGTACTACGGTTCCACCTCGGGAAACTAGCCTGCTCTTTAATTGTGAGGTCTATTGTCCTAGTTGGGTTCGGTCGGTGTGATTGGAAGATGTAGGCATTACGCACCTTCCAAATTAACCATAGAATGCTCGCGATTTCCTTGTTTGGCAACAAGTTTGTGTTAAATTCGAAGCAATGTGAGATCCATTTTTCCAGATTGAAACACGCCTAAAAATTGTCAGCTCTAAAGGGTCCTGATTTTGAAAATCCAAATTCGATCCTAAACCGAGTAGGTTTTAGCTTTTTTTTTTATATATCAAAATACCGATCTACCTTAAACCAATTGCTCCAAGCGGGATTAAGAAATTTAAAATCTCCTACATGAAATTGGTTAGATCTAGGCAGGGTGAACCACGAAGAGAATGGTTGGTCTAACCAGGCTAGAAATTGAATGAAAAATTGATGTCCATAAATTGTAAGCTTATTGTAATTGATCTCTCCTATATATGCAGCTTCCAATGTCCTCTACCTTCATAACTGGATTAATTGTCAGACAAAATATCCATTTCATAAAAAAACCAATCGCTCTACTTAGAATTAGGATGCAATTTCATTTCTCCGGTACCTAATTTCGACATTTCAAATTAAGGAAAGTCGTTTTTCGTATTTATATTTCAATGTCGTCATCAAACACGTCCGATCAGGCAAATAAAGGATCAAGGATCGAATTCAGCCGGGTGAAGACTTGGTAACGACGATTACAATATCCACGATTCTTTTCGCGTGAATTCTACCAGATCTGACGGTCCAAAATAGAGTTTCCATGCACCGCGCGCCCACACTGGAGTTCCCTTTTGGGCGGGATGAGTTTGAGCTTCACCACCTTCGGCCTTCCGGGGGGGCGAAATGTCCGATTTACCCCTGAGGGCGAGAGGACAAGAGGGAGACTCTTCTGAAGCTTTTCCATATATGAGCGGGAGCCGATATGGTGGGTGGCGGTGGTGCTGGCTGCCATACCAGGCGGCGATGAAGGAAGGAAACGGTCGTCTTCCTTCTATGGCCCCTCCGTCTCGTCGCGCCACGTTGACGGCGGCGATGCGGGCCTCGTATGGCAGTCCAGCTCAGGGACGGCTCGCGCTCTTCACAGTCGTCGTCCTCCTCCTCGTCCTCGCCGTCCTCATCCCTTTGGCAGCTCTCTCTTTAATGACCTTCCTCGCTTTGCACTTCCGAAACCGGCAACCATGTCTCATCACCACCCACATTCGCTTCGCTTCCCCTCCTCTCCATGCCGCATTCGCAGCGGCGCTGGTTCTTCTTCTTCGTCCTCCGCCACCACCGGAGAGGGAGAGAACCCAGAAACGTTCGCGTCCCTCGAACCCTAGGAGCCTAAGAGCCGCGCGATGCGCCCGGGCATGGATTTCGACCTGAACGTCGTCGAGCGGGAGGGCGGTGGCGAGGAGCCGGAGCTGGCGGAAGAGGAGGAGGAGGAGGAGGAGGAGGAGGAGGAGGAGGAGGAACAGGCCGAAGTGGAGCCGCGGGAAGGAGGAGGAGGAGGGGCCGGCGGGGCTCGGAGGGGCCGCGCTTGGTCGGCGGAGGAGGACTCGATGCTCGCCCGGCTCGTGGCTGCTTTCGGGCCGGTGAATTGGAATGCCATGTCGGCGATGATTCCTGGTCGGACCGAGAAATCGTGCAGGTTCCGGTGGTTTAACCACCTCGATCCTAGCGTCAAGCACGAGCCTTTCAGCGGTAATCGCATAAGCCTACCTGCATTCTCGTTTCTTTTTCTTTTGTTTTGTTTCGGCAAAAAGAAGGGTGTACCATAAAGATGATGCTGAGAACCGGGTTTTGTTTGGCATTGATTTGGTTCGACTCGGAGTTGTGCTTAATTTTGAATTTAGCTTGTGGTTTGATGCACTGAATCTTACTGCAAAGTTTGTCTTTCGTCTTCCTCAACAGAGCACAATTTAGAGGTTTCCTGTATGAACTCTGCTGTGCTTTTATCATGGTACATTATCCTGTTGTCAGCCTGTTGACTACGATCCTAGTACTTGTGGGCGTGTCTGTGTGTGTAATTTTGCGTGCACATTGAAACTGTAGAGCTTAATTCTATTGTGTGCTGCAGTGAGTCTTGACGAGCACCTCCATGTCCGTTTTCGAATTTTACATCTTCAGGAGTTGTGTTTTATGCACCCGATATGCGTTTTAAGTTAAAGATGATGGTTATTGCATCACCTCTCTAGTGGCTGCATCACCCTTTATTTTTCATGTAACTGCTTGTGTCAGTTAGCTGAGTTGACCGCTATGGAACAGAGCTCACAGAACTCTCTCATGTGATACGAGTGTCAAGATATGCCGAGAGCCTGACACATTGTTTCTTTTAGGCTTAAAGCTCGATCATGTGATTTGCATGTCCTGAATTATGAGTAAGAGGCGGTAAGTCTTGAAGGAGAGTTTACAAGAACTGCACTTTCCTAATACATGCACCGGGTGATTGGAAATGATCCGGTTTTATCAGTCTTAATTATTATTTAGCACTTCTGGCTTCAGATTCTGCTATTATAGTTACTTAATGGATCGTAAAGGTGAGAGTTTGAGCTTTGAGCTAATGAGAATCATCGTATGTTCTTCATGTTTTCCATTCTTAGCTCAATAAAATTTACGGTCCTTATAGAAAATCTTGTGGTCACTTCAGATTTTTCTGTTGAAAGTCGAATAGTTGGATATCTTAAAGCTTTGGCTGAGCCGTATGTGCGCATTTTGCAGTATGTCTCTGTCAATTTTTCTCCCGATTATAGGTAGTCCTAGAAGGCACGTTAGAAAGTAAGCTTTCCTCAGTGGAAATTGAAATCTGATACCTTGGTAAACTTTTGGAATGACCAGCATGCTATTTGACAGTCTACACATGCATTTAAACTGCGATCGTGATGGACTGCATATAGATCTGGTGCAACCAAGCTGCCATTTTTGCAATCCTCATCTTATTATACACTTATTTTGAATGCCCTTTCATGATCCTCATCTAATAAGGTATGTTGCAGGAAAATGAAGTTCATAAGCTCCCAAACTTGGAAGGACGACTATTTTGTGATAGTCTCTTGGTTTTTTCTCTTTGTTACGAGAAACTGGAGCTTACGCCTTTTCATTTTCCTCGAAGAGTGCTGGTTTCACGAGAGTTGCTTCCAATGTGTTTATCTTTCCATTTTCTTGAAGAGTGCTGGTTTTACTGGAGAGGATTCCAGTGTGTGTTGCATACTTCAAAGAACATTTTTGTAGCTCACTGTACTGGCTCTAGCTTTCTAACATGCTAGGCTAGGTGGAGTATAATTTTTCTTATATCTTGGTTTCCCTTTCTATGCACGAGCAAAGAAATTGTATTTGTCCCCTTCATATGTTGAGGACCTTAATGCCATCTAGTTGCCCCTCAATTTGTAAGTCCACTCTAATGGGTTTCCTCTATCACTACAAATAGCAATTAAAAGAGTCGATTTCCTGGATTTATGTCAAAGTTAACTCATAGTAAAATTCTAACAAACTCCAAGTAAAATCAGAGGGTTCTTATGGGTTAGCGAGTCATTAACACCAACTGAGCAAGCGAACTATCCATTCTAAAACTCTAGCTCGAGAGGTTAAGCATAACTTATCTCTATTTGCTCTTGCCAAAGCCCTCTAATATTCTTTAATCTCAATCTTAGAATTTCTAATTCCCTTGAAGCCCTAGTGAACTGATCAATTTGTGTTAATGACCCTTAGTTACCAAAAACCCCACCCCCTAAGTACATAAGAATCGCACGGTCGTATGATTTATATCAATGGCATGGCATCGTTGTGTTTAACATACAAATATTTTGTAGACCTATGTACCTCTGCTTCATATTTGCAAGAGACACGTTAATAATGGTTTTGATTAGTAATTATCACGGAAGTGTGCATGTCATAATATCTTAGCATATTAGTTGTTGAAATGAAGTTATTAGAGCCTATTGATGTTGTCTCTCTCTTTAAGAAATATGAAGAAGCCTCCCTTATTGTGCCAATTTTTAGACAAGTAATGCTGTTCATTCCTGTTCTCGTTATAGGTACCAAATCGATGCATGTTTCAAAGCAATGAGCAAACTAGTTGTAGCATTGGAAAACTTTATTTTTAGGTGAAGATGGGAAATTTTGGTTCTTGTATCGCAATTGTTATATCATAGGATGTAACAGGATGAAGAATACAAATCATCAAGGATATATGATAACTCACGGTACCAAGTGATTAATGGTAAACAAATTAAAAAGCATGACGAGTCACCGTAACTACTTTGGCGTCGACCGATCTGATCTCGACTTTTGGAATTACTATACATTACTTTAAGATCATGAAATGGTGAAGGAGAAGCAAGGGAGGCTGGTTAGAAGAATTATGCTATACATAGTTTTGGTAAGACACAGTAGGACTCATGAGTAGCTTGTGCATTAAAATGATTGAAGAATGTGAACTGAAGAAACAAAAAGGGTATATTCATGAAAAGCATCTGCATATTGGCTGATGGAATGCATTCTAAGCTCTAGACGCTTTCCCTAAACATTTTCAGTGCCTTAGAATCAGCATGATTTTGTTTTTAGCCAATGGAGTGTATTGGCCGAGGAAATCAAAGATCTAGAATGGGAGCGTCCACTCTAAAAACAAATGTTCACATTCTCATCTTCCAAGTCACGATTTTGGTTTCAGCCAATGGAGTGCATTGGACATAAAATTTCAACGACATGCTTTATATCATAGCATATTCTTTTTTCTACGATTCATTCACATTTTTATGGTATTATATGGAAATTAGCTCATGACTTGAGAACCGAAGTTTCTGAAAAATTGCCAATCCGCAAGTTTCTAGCAATCAATTGCATAATTTTTATTTTCATCTCTAACGTCTTCTTAAAGACTGAGGATGAATTATTATGTAGGAGTATATCCTTTTGATATAAATAGAAATGTGATTCACTAGGAGTTATTTTGGTAGAATTAACTGGTTCATTAATGTGGTTCTAGTCATTTGGTGTGCTTCTAGATGATAAGAGTTGTTAGCATTTCCCAAGATGTGAAGTTCTTGTAATTTGGAATCTTGGTCTACATTCCTTTTCAGCTCAAGGAACTTTTGGCTTTGTCGACTGACGCTTCATAAAGCCTCTTATTGGAGGCTCATCATACTCTATGATTCGCCAGTATTCTATATCGGCCTTTTTATAATGCTTTTACTTCTTCAATGACTTATATTTGTTAGTCGAAAGTACGGCATATGTCAAGCCGCTGATTTAGGCCATTTAATGAGGTCACGTTGTCTACCGTGCTTTAAAGAAAAGTGGTTTTTGAGTGTATTTGTGTTAATTGTGCTGTTCTGCCTTTGACTCTGCTTGCTTTTGACTATGATGAGCCGTTTAATGACCTGACTTATTAGGATGGTCAGGGGGACATTGGAGCCTCAGCTCATGCATTGGTTTACCGAAATCATGTCCCCTATCCCACTTCCCTAAAAAACACGACAAACTAGTATGCTTGGTTTCCTTGGTTGGAATAGCTAGTACTAAACCCTAGTAACTTAAACTTTATATTTGGATGAGGCATCAAAATGGTTTTGTGGTTGTGGAGACTATCACCAATGCAGAGTAGTCAGTAGATAGTCTTTCACTATAAGGTGATAGATGGAACTGCCAAAACAAAGTGGCGAACTGGTGTGTAAGGCGTGGGAAGGTTTTCAGGAGCGTAGCCTATTAAAACGTCATAATGTATCGTCCGCTTCCTACAATACGACCTGAGGGTGTAGATGTTATCGCGAGTAAGCAAGTAGTAATTGCGTGTTGAGGTGGGAGCCAGCTAGTCTTGATTAAGTATCCATATTAAGTTATGGCACATGTGTGTTGTCTTCTTGCGTGTAACCAGTGAAGGATAGTTCACCATGTAAATGCCCATTCTCATGTCATTATTGGCATGTTTACAGAGAATTGATTGCCGTATGCTGCAAATGCCTGGTTTATTATCTCGTATTGATCTGAACATCTTTTGTGTCCGAGTGCTTTCCATATAGGAATGTCATAACATGCTCTTTCCTTGATTCGACCCTTGACTAGAAGGCAGCTGGAGACAATATGTAGTACTAATGGTCCTTTAGATAGCCTGCTTGTGTTATATACATCTACAGCTATCGGTACATTAATACAGCATCGATTGGCAATTCTGGTGGCTCTTTTCCCAATTTAGATGAATTTGGAGGTTTGCTTCTATTTTTTTCGTGGATAACACTATGTCTGGGCTTCAAGGATACAATTGTGTTTAGGCTTAGCCAAACACAGATACATACACGGCGCATGTATATTGAGGCCTGTATCAGAAACATTATGGATTGCGTGCTGAGTCCATTGACTTGTTCTATAGATTGAACAAGCACTTAATAATAAATGTGGCTTGATAAGATTTGGTCAAATAGAATGTTTGTAAATTGTAGATGCCAGCATACTCTTCGAGAAATTTACGTCATGGCTTCTCCAGTGGTACCTCCGTTATCTGCTCTAGAATGAACTACAGGGGTAACCCTCTTTCCTTGTTTGGGAATACAATGTTATTTTGGTGCCACTTTATAATTGGCAAGTAAGGTCGGTTGAAGATTTGTAGACATCTACATTGTTCCTTTAAGTGCCACCCTTCACACCTTCTTATCTTCAATAACCATATGATGAGTGATTAATGCTTTCGCTAGTATGCTCGCTATATTCATGTTGACTATATTTGTATAGATCTTGCTTCGACGACTTTTATACTCGTGATGTTCACTGGTGTTTTGTTTGATACAGAAGAGGAGGACCAAATTATCATGATGGCCTGTCAAATCCATGGTAACAAATGGAAATCAATTTCAAGGATGCTACCAGGTAGAACAGGTTATGCAATCAAGAATCACTGGAATGTCAGTTTGAAAAACAAGCAAGCGGAGCAAAGGAATCCCGAGTTATGTGCCAGCGACATGGTAGCAGTTCAAATCCTGGCGGAAATGAAGGCATTCACTCGAAAGGCACTGTCCATTGGAGATGTGGTGATGAGCAGAAACCGAGAGGGAGGAGATGGTGGAAATTCTCATGGACATCAGAACTGTGAAGATCAAGCATTTCAAGCCAAAGGAGGTTTTCTTGCTGCTGAGACAAGGGAAAACCCTCCTGTCCTTCGTCCAAAGGCAAGTTATGGCGCATTTAGGGTTTATTACCCTCCAAGTGGTGGTCCTGGAAATAGTTCTGGTGCTTCGACCGTGGTGCCCCTCCAGGGACCTCTAGCACAGGCTCTTGGGTCAGAGTTTGGCGTCCACCATTTTCTCGAAGATGCCCATGGGGAGCCTTTGATTCCTCACCAATGTGGCTATGGTTGCTGTTCAGGCCAAAATGGACCAAATGGTGGAAGCTCCTTGTTGGGGCCTGATTTCATTGATTACATTGAGCCTCCCTCCTTCTCGAACCAAGAGCTGATGTCTATGGCAGCAAACTTGCACGAGATTGCATGGACTCGAAGTGACCCTGGCTTTGTCAGTACTGGGATGCCGAGCATGGAGATGTGGCAGCCGACCCGCCCCAGCGAGAGAGATTCTGCTGCATTTGCTTCTGAAGCATCAGGACAGGAAAATAAGGATGATCCCAGTGGCAAGTTGAAGGGTGTGATACAGTAATGTATCGGATGCTGAGCCGGATTTTGTGGTGCCAGCTCAAGTTGAATGTTTCTGTTAAATGCACCACTTCTTTCTTTCTTTCCTTTCTAACATTCTGAATGGGACATCGCATGAGAATGGAGTTGATGACTCGTGTTTTGCCTGCCTGAGAATTGACAGCAATAATTTGATGTTCCATTGTTGATTATGTTGTATTGGATTCTTTCTTTCTGTCCGTCTAATGCCCTTGATTCGCTATCTCTGTCTACATAATGTTTGAATTGCAGCATGCCATCTTTTTCCCTTCGATCTGTGGGGGCAATTTCGCAACTTTTCAAATTGCAAGTTTTCTTGACTGACGAAGTTCATACTCTATTGTATGGTGGTGCTGTTTCATCCGTGACAGCTTGAAGATCTGATGTACAAAGATCCCATGGCTGATCAGTGTTAAAAAAAAAGAAGAAGAAAGAAATCTCATGATGCGATTTTGCTGCACTTTTTCACAATATCCTCTACCTAGCATGTGGAGATACTCCTCCTTTTGGCCAATTTTGGTACTTAGGGTCTGTTTGGTTCAACTTTTCAAATGCTATTTGGAGAAATACAAATACCTTTAGGTTAAGAAGTCTCTTATAGAAATGCAAGTGGCTTTTAGTAAAAAATCATTTGTAAAGCTACTTTGGCCCAAATAGTATTTGGTAATTTTTTTTTTGCAAATAGGCTTTGGGAATTATCATTTTTATTAAAAAAACCTACCTTACCCTTCGCCGGAGCCGGCGAAGGCCTACGGTGGCCGGCGAGCTAGATCTAGCGCCGGCGGCCGTCGCCTGAGGTCGGACGACCCATGACGAGCTAGATTTGCCGTCGGCGGCCGTCACCCGAGGTCGGGCGACCCCTGGCGAGCTAGATCTACCGCCGGCGGCCGCCGCCTTGGTTGCGCGACCCTCGCCGCTGGCGGAGGCCAGGCGACCCAGGCAGCAGCCGCCTGAGGTTGCGTGACCCAGGTGCCGGCCACCTGAGTCGGGCAACCCAGGAGACGGTCGCTTGTGTCCCGCATGAACCCGAACAGCGCATCCACTATCAAGCATGCAATCGGTGCGTCCGGGGACGACATTTCTTCTCTCAAGCATTCCTCGAAGGGAGCAGCGCACTTGGCATTCAGGAGTGCGATCAAGCGGACGACGTCCGATGTGGAGGCCTCCGATTGGCCAAGGCCGTCGCCGATGGAGCGAAAGGCGAAGTGGGGGTGCGAGGATGGATCGGGAGCGTTCAAGTCTGTGTGCAGGATGGTGATGGAGAAGCCTCGGTTGTGGAGGATCTGAGCTAGTTGGAGCATTGGGTTGATGTGGCCCTGGAGTGGCACGGGGAAGAGGACGAGACGGCGGTTGTTTCTTTGGTTCATTTTGGATTGAGTTTGTGTTGGGTCAGTCACACACTAAACACTCGAAAGCTTGTAGCTTTTGATAGAACTTGATTAGAGGTTGGTGATACAAAGAAACAGGGATTGATACGGAGACTGGGCTTTTGCAGATTTGTGAACTCTCGACTGCAACTATGTGCATTGAAGTGGGGAAGTTTGTATACTAGGTCATACGAAGACTGCTGACTAGAATGGGAGTGAATGAAGACAAATTTGAGAAATCGATGCTATCTGATTTGTGTCTTAAGATCCGTCAAGGATTGGGCATTGCACTAAGCACTGGCCGACATCAATGGCAGTGTTGTCCTCGTCTTCGTGCTCAGTGAATGCCCTGTTTCTACGAAGTTGCTCATTGCTCAACATCCATTTCAAGAAAGACTAGTCTTAATTGCTTTCTTTCTTTTCTCTTTCTTTTGGGCCCATAAGTATCCAATGCATTAAAAACGGGTCGATGTAGGTTGAGAATACAATATGTACAACAACATTATGAGCAGATCAACTACATTATGGCGAAAGACAGGTTTATGCAGTGATCCTTGATTGTGCATGGAGCATCTTTCCAAGAATGGGATCAAAAGGAGAAAGCATCAGTTGAATCTGTGCTAGTTACAGAGGTTAACACTTACTTCAAGAGCTGACAACCTATCTTCAGAATCACATCTCAAAATGTGATTGACTAATCCATCTAACCCTCGGTATGAAGACCCACCTGGTGTCAAGCACCCGCTTGCCTTCTCCTTCAAAACCAATGCCCTCTGTCTTGTTTCTTCTCCTTCTCTCTCCACCAACACCCTCTTGATGGCCCTTGCAATGTTCTCTCTCTCAAGCCCACCATTCAAGTGCACTCCAACCCCCCAAACATCGCTCACATACCTTGCATTCACTCCTTGATCTGCAAAACAAGGCATGCACAACATTGGCACTCCTTCACTTATGCTTTCCACAGTGGAATTCCAACCATTGTGGGTCCAAAATGCTCCCACAGCAGGATGAGCCAGCACTTCCACTTGAGGTGCCCATTTCACTATCTTCCCTCTCCCTTCCAGCGCCTTGAGGAAGTGGCTCGGTGACTTCTCTGGCCACTCCGGATCGCCAACTGACCCGGGCCGGACCACCAACAAAAAGGGCTGCTGAGAGTCGGCTAGGCCTAGTGCAATCTCCAAGATTTCTGCGTTGCTCACGGCCGCCGAGCTCCCGAAGCTCACGTAGATGACGGACTTGAGTGGCTGTTCGTCTAGCCAGGAGATACAGCTTCTGTCCTCTGCTAGTAAGCTGCTCGAAGAAGATGTCACGCAGCATTTGTGGAACGGACCGATGGGAAAAACTGGGACCGACAGAACTTCCCGGAGCGACGTGAGAGCAGGGTGCTCTAGCTCTTCGAAAGTGTTGAAGATGACACCGGTAGAGCTCTTGACTACCTTGACCAGGTTATCAAATAATCGGAACATCATCTCAGGTTTCTGCGAATCGACCACGGGGATGTCTCGAACTAGTAACGGCGGAAACTCCTTCACCGCCTCTTCGGATCGTGAACCTGAGAGTGAAAGAAACTATACTTTATGAGTTGAAGGAAGCAAGCAACATACGGATCTTGACATCCAGAGACGCCCAGATGATTTTATACAGAAAACTACTGTCATCCACATATATTGCACGGATTTATATAAACTACAACTATAATTTGTAGATTTTTCACATAAGTAATTTAGTCAACTGTTACATTAGGTATAAGAATCAAATCCTTCAGATCGCATACATCGGGAACGCCGAATGGTAGGTCTCAGTTCTAACTTCAAGAGACGTTAAACATTTTGGCCAAAACAACCAAAGACATCATTAACATCAAGCACCTCACATCTCAACGAGTCAATTAATAATTATAGTGAAACTTAAAATAGCGATCTATGGTGGAATATTGCCAGTTTTTATAGTCATGAACATCGACTCACTTGTGTTATGGTTATTCAATATACAATGCAAAAAGGATTTACTAAGATGATATAGCTAATCAGTACGGCTTATCACATCGTTTGATAAGGTGGGTTGTGCGAGTCCGTCTTAGTACTCTGAAATATATGATAACATGATTAAGAAAATCGAATTTGACCACCCAAATCCATTTTCAAAAGTCCTTACATCAAAATTAGGGCAATGAAGAAGAAACTAGACTTTTTTTGTTCATTCATCACGGAACACACATGATCAGATCTTTTGAACCGAGAAAAGAGAAGCATATATACTAACTCACACCTTGCAACACCAAAAAAGCTTACCGTCTGTTGGAACATATCCTTTTTCCTTGAGAACCGGAAGTATAGTATAAACATAAAGCGACGCCGCGCCGCCCGTCCGCAACACCAACGCACGGACCTTCAACCTCTCGGCTACACCGCACATGAAGCTGAACAGCTGATCCGATATCAAGCACGCAACAGGCACCGCATCAACACCCGGAGACGGCATCATTTCCCGCAGGCATTCCTCGAAGGGGCTCGCGCACCGGGCATTGAGGAGCGAGACGAGCCGAGGGATGTCCAACGTGGAGGCCTCCGATCGGTCGAGGCCGTTGGCGATGGATCGGAAGGCAAAGTGAGGGTGGGAGGACGGATCCGGGGCGTTGAAGTTGGTGTGGAGGATGGTGATGGAGAAGCCTCGGGTGTAGAGGATCCGACCCAGTTGGAGCATTGGGTTCATGTGGCCTTGGAATGGTAGAGGGAAGAGGACCAAACGGTGGTTGTTTCTTTGGTTCATCGTGGACTTTGTTTCTCGGGTAGCTCAAACGTGAATGGAGGGAGGTTTCCTTGTTGAGATGTACACCGGAATGTTAGAATATAAGTATGAGTTATGTTAAAGAAATCCCACATTAAATAATTAATGTGATGCAGAGTAGTTAATATAACTTAATTGATCATAATTTATTGATTTAAGTTTTTAAGTAACGACGGCGTCACGCGACACGCGAAGCTCGCAGAACTAAGCTGGCAAATCGACCGGTCGCTTTCATCGTCGGTCAGCTTTCTTACTTTTTCCCCTTTCTTGTTTTTTTTTTGAGCAGAACGTCTCTGGTGTTTCTCCGTTCTGTTTTTCAGGGTCAGCCCGTGCCCTCTCTTGTCTTATCCCCAAAACGCCACGAATAAAATCGATGAGGACTCGATGGTTGATGGGTGATCAATGAAGACACATGAAGCTATTCTTTAGGGCTTAGCGGGAAAAAGTGATCAATGAAGACACTCGCTTTAGATGAAGTCGGTCGTTTTAGTTTTAATTTTTTTTAGGTCGGAAGGTCGTTTTAGTTTAAGAAGTGACGAGTATAGCTCCGCACTTTCGGCCGGTTCACAAAGGACGCAAATCTTGCCTAAGTGAATGTTCGAAGCGGACATGCTATTCTCAAACAACGTGCCTCAGTCCCAAATGCGAAAAAAATTGCAGCAAAGAATGCGAATGCGAAACTATGAAACACCCTTATTCTTTTTCAGGGATCAAATTCTATCACGGCAGCAAATTCGATTCCTAAAATTTTCAAATGAATGAATGATCTTTTGAGCGAGAATTTTAGGTGTGACAACTGATGGTCCGGATTGAATCTTATAATATACACTAGGTTGATGGATACTTGCTCACAAATCGAAAATTTGATCACCAGTGGGACTTAATTACACTTTTTAATAAAGAAAACTTCGAATTCAATGACTCGAATTAATAAGTTTTGCCGAGGATACTTTATAACGTGATGAGTTTAGAAAGTGGTATGACTTCAAAGTTGATATTCTTAAACCCCCAATAACGCCTATACTAATAAGACCGAACGAAAATTAATACATTCAAAATACAAGCTCTCATATAAATGTTTAGAAATGAGTGTAGAAATAGATGCGTCTAAATGGATCTAATTAAACATATCATGTTGACATGAGTAGAATGTCAGTTGATTTAAATCGTGTTTAAGCGTGACACAAATAACTTAAAAGTGTTAATTAACGAACGGCAGATTTATTATTTATTCATCAACGGAACGACTCTATTAGACCATGTTTAAGTTCGGACAACATATGATTATTCACAAGACAATATGTGGCTGACCAATGCGTCCAAGGCTTGGTATGAAGACCCGCCTTGTCCCAAGCAAACAATGGCCTTCTCCTTCAAAACCAATGCCCTCTGTCTTATGTCTTCTCCTTCTCTATCCACCAACACCCTCTTGATGGCCCTTGCAATGTTCTCTCTCTCAAGCCCACCATTCAAGTGCACTCCAACCCTCCAAACATCGCTCACATACCTTGCATTCACTCCTTGATCTGCAAAACAAGGCATGCACAGCATTGGCACTCCTTCACTTATGCTTTCCACAGTGGAGTTCCAACCATTGTGGGTCCAAAATGCTCCCACAGCAGGATGAGCGAGCACTTCCACTTGAGGTGCCCATTTCACTATCTTCCCTCTCCCTTCCAGCGCCTCAAGGAAGCGGCTCGGCAACTTCTCTAGCCACTCCGGATTGTGGACCGACCCGGGCCGGACCACCCACAAAAAGGGCTGCTCAGACTCGGCTAGGCCTAGTGCAATCTCCAAGATTTCTGCCTCGCTCATGGCCGCTAAGCTCCCGAAGCTCACGTAGATGACGGACTTGAGTGGCTGTTCGTCTAGCCAGGAGATGCAGCTTCTGTCCTCTGCTAGTAAGCTGCTCGAGGAAGATGTCATGCAGCATTTGTGGGATGGACCGATCGGGAAAAAGGGGACCGACAAAACTTCCCGGAGCGATGTGAGATCAGGGTGTTCGAGCTCTTCGAACGTGTTCAAGATGACACCACACGAGTTCTTGATTGCCTTGATCAGGTCATCCAATAATCGGGACATCACCTCGGGTTCCTTTGAATCGATCGCTGGGATGTCTCCAACTAGTAACGGCGGAAACTCCTTCACTGCCTCTTCAGATCGTGAACCTTATACACACACAGTGCAATAAACCATAATTTTATGAGAAAAAGAAATTCACTAAGCACAGAAAAGCAAGAAATATATAGATCTTGACATCCAGAATCGCTCTGAAAATTTTATACTGAAAACTACTGGCATACACATACATTGCCCGGATTTGTATAAAGTAAACCTATGATTACTTACCATTAAAATCGGTAGTCTCTTTCCTGTGAAAAGCTTTTTGATATAGACAAGAATTTTAAATGTTTATTAATAAATTTATTATGCCAGGGTTAAGAATTAAAGCACTAGACAGATCCATCCGATCACGTACATTGCGGAGCAACGCACGGTTGGGGTTGGTTCTAACTTCTCTGTTGTAAAGACACGTTGAACAATTTGGCCAAGAACAAAGACATTATTAAACACTAAGGACCCTCAAATCTCGACGAGTCATTTAGCAATTATTTTGAAATTAATATTGCTAGTTTTTTATGAGTCATGAACATCAACTCACCTGTAGTGAAAGAACATGTCATGGTTATTCGATGAACAATGCAAAAACGATCTACTAAGATAATATAAGTACAATATATCTTATCGTTTGATGAATCATGTTGTGTAAGTCAGTCTTAGTACTCTACAACTTATAATAATATGATAAAAAAAAAAGCGAACCTGACCATCCAAATCCATCTGCAAAAGCCCTTCACCGAAGCTGGGGCAATGAAGGAAAAAACAGACTTTTTTTGTTCATTCATCACCAAACACACAACAATCAGAACTTTGAACCGAGAAAAGAGAAGCATAAATTAACATACGCCGTGCAACACCAAAAAGGCTTTACCATGTGTTGGGACGTATCCTTTTTCCTTGAGAACCGGATATATAGTGTAAACATAAAGCGACGCCGCACCGCTGGTCCGCAACATCAACGCACGGACCTTCAGCCTCTCGGCTACGCCGCAAGTAAAGCCGAATAGCGAATCAGATATCAAGCACGCGACGGGCACCTCCTCACCACCCTGCAACGACATCATTTCCTGCAGGCATTCCTCGAAGGGGCTCGCGCACCGGGCGTTGAGGAGTGAGATGAGGCCAGGGATGTCCGACATGGAGGCCTCTGATTGGTCGAGGCCATCGGCGATGGATCGGAAGGCGAAGTGAGGGTGGGAGGACGGATCCGGGGCTCTGAAGTTGGTGTGGAGGACGGTGATGGAGAAGCCTCGGGCGTAGAGGATCCGACCAAGTTGGAGCATTGGGTTTATGTGGCCTTGGAATGGTAGCGGGAAAAGGATCAGACGGTGGTTGTTTCTTTGGTTCATTATGGACTTTGTTTCTTCTGTCGCTCGCACGTTAATGGAGGGAGGTTGTCTTGAGATATATACAGAAGCTTTAATGCTGTTGCTTCATATGGTCTTTCCAAGTTGGGATTCCAGAACAAGTCTAGCTGTTCATGCGAGTTATAATAAAGGGCTCGAGTTGGATCGGTCGTGAAGAATCGGGAAATGAATATTAGGTTTAGGTGAGTATCGCCTGTCAACAGATGTCATGAACATATTTTATGCACTCCAGGTCCAGAGATTACCATATAAATGTGGTTACTTAAAAGTATGTTGACAAGAGTAGCATGTCAATTGATTAAAAACGTGTCTAAGCGTGACACAAATAACTTAAAAGTGACACCAATAACTCCAATAATCAGAACATCAGCTCGGGTTCCTTTGAATCGACTGCCGGGATATCTCGAACTAGTAACGTTGGAAACTCCTTCACTGCCTCTTGCAATCGAGAACCTGAGATACACTCAAGAGTGCAATAAACCATACTTTTATGAGAAAAGGAAAATGACCAAGCACGGAAAAGGAAGCAATATGTAGATATTGACATCGAGACTCGCTCAGAAAATTTTATACTGAAAACTACTGGAATACACATACATTGCACGGATTTGGGGAAAAGTGCCAAAAAAGTCATAAATTTTTTGCATTAGTGCCAATTTAGTCCTAAACCTTTTTTTGGTGCCAATTCAGTCCTAAACCTTTTAAATTGGTGCCAATTCAGTCCTAAACCTTTTGTTTTTGTGCCAATTTTGAACGGATTTTGCCGACGTGGACGCCTACCGGCCGGTCACCGGCGCTGACGTGGACAACTTTAATATTATATTAATATTTTTTTGAATTTTTATTTTTTTTATTTTTTTTTTATTTTTTTTTCCACCTTTTTTTTTTGGTCTCTCCCTCCTCCCTCTGGCCGGTCGCCGGTCCGGCGATCGGCCAGAGGTCAGAGGCCGGCGAGCTCGACCTCGCCGGCCACTGGCGAGGGCGGGCCTCGCCTTGGTCAGGCGAGGCTCGAGCCCTCGCCGGAGGCCGCGGCGAGGGCGAGCCTTGCCATAGTCGGGCGAGGCCCAACCTCCCCAGCGACCTCGCCGGATCCGGCGAGGTCGAGCCTCGCCCAGCGACCTCGCCGGATCCAGCGAGGTCGAGCCTCGCCCGACCCAGGCGAGGCTCGCCCGTGCCGCGGCCTCCCGGCGAGGGCTCGAGCCTCGCCATGGTCGGGCGAGGCCCGACCTCGCCGGATCTGGCGAGGTCGAGCCTCGCCCGACCAAGGCGAGGCCCGCCCTCGCCAGTGGCAGGCGAGGTCGAGCTCGCCGGCCTCTGGCCTCTGGCCGGTCGCCGGACCGGAGATCGGCCAGAGGGAGGAGGGAGAGACAAAAAAAAAGTGGAAAAAAAAGAAAAAAAAGGAAAATTTTTTTTTCAAAAAAATATTAATATAATATTAAAGTCATCCATGTCAGAGCCGGTGACCGGCCGCCGGCCGGCAGGCATCAACGTTGGCAAAATCCGGTCAAAATTGACCGGAAGGACTAAATTGGCACAAAAACAAAAGGTTTAGGACTAAATTAGCACCAATTTAAAAGGTTTAGGACTGAATTGGCACCAAAAAAAGGTTTAGGACTAAATTGGCACCAATGCAAAAGGTTTAGGACTAAATTGGCACAAAAAAAAGGTTTAGGACTAAATTGACACTAATGCAAAAGGTTTAGGACTTTTTTGGCACTTTTCCCCACGGATTTGTACGAAGTACACCCATGATTACTTACCAATAAAATCAGTAGATTTTCCTGTGAAAAGCTTTTTGATATAGACAAGAATTTTGAATGTTTATTAAGCAATTTATTGAATTGTTACCCTAGGGATAAGAACTAGCAGCGGACAGATCCTTCCGATCACGTACATTGCGGAGCAACGCACGGTTGGGGTTAGTTCTAACTTCTCTATTGTAAAGTCACGTTGAACAATTTGGCCAAAAGAACAAAGACATTATCAAACACTAAGGACCCTCAAATCTCAACGAGTCATTTAGCAATTATATTGAAATTTCAAGTAGCATTCTACGGTGGAATATTGCTAGTTTTTTTATGAGTCATGAACATCAACTAAGCTGGAGTGAAAGAACATGTTATGGTTATTCAATGAACAATGCAAAAATGATTTACTAAGACAATATAAGTACAATATATCTTATCGTTTGATGAATCATGTTGTGTAAGTCGGTCTTCGTACTCAAAAACTTATAACAAGGGAAATTTGTCCAAAAAAGTTTTAAACTATAATATACTTTTGTCAATTCATTCCTAAGTCTTTAAATTATGCCAATTGAGTCATAAACCTTTTTCACGTTTTACCAATTGAGTCAATCTAGTCAATTTTGATAGGAAATTGCTAACGTGGACACCGGCCGTTTTACGTTACATAGTCGGCACTAACATCGATAATTTTTAATAATATTTTAATAGTTTTGTGAATTTTTTATTACTTTTTTATTTTTCCTTTTTTTATTCTTTCTTTTTTTTTTCTTCCCTTCTACCTCTAGCCAGTCACTGGGCCTCAGCGATGGCCAACCGGCCTTGAGCGATCCTTGCCCACCCCTAGCGAGGCTCACCCTAGCCGTCGCTATGCGAGGTCGGCCTCGCCATGGCTGGGCGAGGCTTGCCCTCGCTGTCTTTGAGGCCCTGTGATCGGCTAGAGGAAGAAGGTAGAAAAAAAAAAGAAAGAAAAGAAAAAGAAGAAAAGGAAAAAAGAAAATAATAAATAAATCGAAAAAAAATATTAAAATTATCTACGTCAACGCTGGCGCCCCACGTAGGAAGGCCGGCGTCTATATTAGCGATTTCCAGCATAAATTGGTTGTGTAGACTCAATTGGCAAATCGTGAAAATATTTAGAACTCAATTGACATAATAAAAAAATTAGTACAATAAATTTATGAATTTTTGGATAATTTTCGTTTTATAATAATATTGACCATCTAAATCATCTGCAAAAGCCCTTCATCGAAACTAGGGCAATGGATCAAAAAAAAAAACATAGGGCAATGAAGGAAAAAATAGACTCTTTTGTTCTTTCATCACAAAACACACAGCAATCAGAACTTTAAACCGAGAATAGAGAAGCATAACCTAACATACATCATGCAACAACAAAAAGGCTTACCATGTATCGGAACGTATCCTTTTTCCTTTAAAACTGGATATATAGTGTAAACATAAAGCGACGTCGTGCCACCGGTCCGCAACGTCAACGCACGGACCTTCAGCCTCTTGGCTACGCCGCAAGTAAAGCTGAATAGCGAATCAGATATCAAGCACGCGACGTGCGCTGCCTCACCACCCTGCAACGACATCATTTCCCGCAAGCATTCCTTGAAGGGGCTCGCACACCAGGCGTTGAGGAGTGAGATGAGGCCAGGGATGTCCGACATGGAGGCCTCTGATCGGTTGAGGCCATCGGCGATGGATCGGAAGGCGAAGTGAGGGTGGGAGGACGGATCTGGGGCTCTGAAGTTGGCGTGGAGGACGGTGATGGAGAAGCCTCGGGCGTAGAGGATCCGACCAAGTTGGAGCATTGGGTTTATGTGGCCTCAGAAGGGTAGAGGGAAAAGGATCAGACGGTGGTTGTTTCTTTGGTTCATTGTGGATGTTTCTTTGGTTCATTGTGGACTTCGTTTCTTCTGTCGCTCCCACGTTAACGGAAGGAGATTCGCTTGAGATATATGCAGAAGCTTTGATGTCGTTGCTTTATATGGTCTTTACAAGTTGAGATTAAAAAACAGGTAATAGCTGTTCATGCTAAATATGATATAGGGATCGAGTTGGACCGGTCGAAGAAAATCATTATATGAATATTAGGCTTTGGGTGGGCATCATGTGTGTTGAGTGACTTTCATGAATATATTATAGGCACTGTTAGGTACTGAGAACTTGGCTTTGAGTCGCTGTCATACAAGATTTCTATATCTGTAGACGGAAAGTGATTGATCTTATCTCCGGCATAAAAATTGCGAAAATTACCAAAACAGTGTTAAATTTATTACATTTATGCCAATTCAGTCTTAAATCTTTTATATTTATGTCAATTTAGTCTTAAACCTTTTGTATTTGTGTCAATTTATTCCGTCCGGCTAATTTTGATCAGCTGGCGCTGACGTGGTAAATTTTTTTAATGTATATTTTTTTATTTTTTTCGTGTTGTTTTATTAAATTTTTTCTCTTTCTTTTTCTCCTATTTTTAATTATCTCTCACTTTCTTTTTTCTTTTCCTCTCTTCATCTAAAGCTTCTAAGAGGCGGGGGCTGGCAAGGTTGGCCTCAGCGGCCACTAGCGAGGCCGAGCTCGCAATGAGCAATATATTCCAAAATACTCGAGTGCCAGAGATTGGCGGATTATTTTATTATTCTTAAGTTCTCTCTTCCACTTTCTGCAATACAAAAGAGGAAATATAGACAGACAAGCGGACAAAAAAGAGGAAAGTGGGGGCTAAGGCAAGAATATATCGTTAGATGAAGAAAACGGAAATGGAAATATATATACACACACGTGCGCTCACGCCAGACTTCACTGAAGTCTTAACGAGTCATTCAGGAATTATTTTGAAATTTTGAAATAGCAATGTGTGGTGGAATATTGCTAGTTTTTTTATGAGTCATGAACATCAACTAGTGTTGAAAGAACATGTGGTTATGCAATCAACAAAGCAAATAGGATTTACTAAGATGATATAGTTAATCGATACAGTTTATTACATGGTTTGATAAATTGGGTTATGTAAGTCAGTACTCTAATATTTATGACAATATGGTTAAACAAAATCGAATTTGATCACCCAAATCCATTTGCAAAAGACCCTTCATAAAATTGGGGCAATGAAGAAAAGCTAGACTTTTTTTGTTAATTTATCACAGAACACACATAATTCAGAATTTTTGAGCGGACAAAGGAAAAGAATAAACTAACTCACACCATGCAATACCCAAAAGCAGGAAAAGTACCAAAAAAAGTTCTAAACCTATTGTATCGATACCAATTTAGTCCTAAATCTTTCAATGGGACCAATGTAGTCATAAACCTTTTGACGATTTGCTAATGTAGTCCATCCGACGAATGTTGAAATTGCTGACATGGATGTCAACCGTCTTAAGTGGCATGATGGTTGCTGACGTGGACAAATTTTTAAAATTTTAATTTTTTTCTATTTTTCCCTTTCTTTTCTTTTCTTTTGCTTTTCACGCGATGCCCTCGGTGGCCATGGGTGGGAGCCTTGCACCCTCGACCACATCTAGGCAGTGGTCGACTGTTTGCCGACGAGGGCCTCCGTGCCCTTGCCAAGATCTAGGCGAGGGCGTTAGGCCCGCCCCCAGCTTTAGGCGAGGGCTACAACACCCTCGCCCAGACCAAGCGAGGGTCGCTAGCCCTCGCTTGTGGTTGGTGATGGTCGGCCGGGGACCTCACCAACCAGAGTTATAAAAAAAACAAAGAAAAAAAAGAAAATAAGAAAAAGGAAAAAAACAAAAAATTTTAAAAATTGTCAATATCAACGATGACCATCTTAGTTGGCCATGCCACATAGGACGTCCAACGTTTATGTTAGCAATTTTAGCCAAAACTGATCGGATAAACTATATTGTTAAAATGTTTAGGATTATGAGATTTTATGGGTGGATTATTATTTAATATTCTAACACTCCCCCTCTCTTGTAGGTTGGACCTCCTACTTTGATACCAATTGAGATTTTATGGGATTATTGCCAACTGATTTAAAAACTTAAGCTATTGAATGAAACTGTGGTTTAATATTTAAATATTCTATTACTCCTCGCCCGTGGCCATCGAGGGCCGCGACGCCCTTGCCCAGACTAGGCAAGGGTCGTTGGCCCTCGCCTGCCAGAGTTGATAAAAAAACAAATAAAAGAAAAGAAAAAAGAAAAAAATATTAATAAAATTTGAAACAAATATTAAAAAATTATCCACGTTAGTGTCAACCATACTACATAGGACAGACGGCATCATGTTAGTAATTTTAGGTCAAAATTGAATAGATGGACTACATTGGCAAATTACCACCAGCTGCTTCCCAGCGAAGATGTGTCGCTGCTGATCCGGTGGAATTCCATCCTTGTCCTGAATCTTCGCTTTCGCATTGTCAATCGTGTCCGAGATCTCCACCTCCAGCGTGATCGTCTTCCCGGTCAAGGTCTTCACAAAGATCTGCACACCTCCCCTCAACCGCAGCACCAGATGGAGGGTCGACTCCTTCTGAATTTTATAATCCACGAGGGTGTGATTGTCCTCAAGCTGCTTCTCGGCTAAGTTGAGCCTCTGCTAGTGTGGAGGGATCCCTTCCTTGGCCTGTATCTTGTCTTTGACATTGTCGATCATGTCGGAACTCTCGACCTTGAGAGTGATGGTCTTGCTAGTTAAGGTTTGACGAAGATCTACATCTGCAGAGATTGATGATTAAATGAGAGGAAAAGTGCCAAAAAGTCATAAACCTTTTGCATTAGTGCCAATTTAGTCCTAAACCTTTTTTTGGTGCCAATTCAGTCCTAAACCTTTTGCATTGGTGCCAATTTAGTCCTAAACCTTTTTTTGGTGCCAATTGAGTCCTAAACCTTTTAAATTGGTGCCAATTCAGTCCTAAACCTTTTGTTTTTGTGCCAATTTAGTCATTCCGGCCAATTTTGACCGGAATTTGCTGACGTGGACGCCTGCCGGCCGGCGGCCGGTCACCGGCGCCGACGTGGCGCTGACGTAGACAACTTTAATAATATTTTAATATTTTTTTGAATTTTTATTTATTTTTTTCTTTTTTTTCCACTTTTTTATTTGGGTCTTTCCTCCTTCCTCTGGCCGGTCGCCTGTCCGGCGACCGGCCAGAGGCTAGAGGCCGGCAAGCTCGACCTCGCCTGCCACTGGCGAGGCTCACCCTCACCGGCCACTGGCGAGGGTGGCCTCGCTTGGCGAGGGCGAGCCTGGCCTTGGTCGGGCGAGGCCCAAGAAAACGGACTCACCGATGCATTTGCAACCGCGGCGAGGCCCAAGAAAACGTTGTCGCGGAAGGGGCCGGAGAAGTCCACGGAGAATGCGGCGGGGGGGGGGGGGAGGGGGTCGCCCTCGCCGCGGCCTCCGGCGAGGGCTCGAGCCTCGCCATGGTCGGGCGAGGCCCGACCTCGCCGGATCCCGGCGAGGTCGAGCCTCGCCCGACCAAGGCCAGGCTCGCCATCGCCGGGCGAGGGCCGCCCTCACCAGTGGCCGGTGAGGGCGAGCCTCGCCAGTGGCCGGAGAGGTCGAGCTCGCCGGCCTCTGGCCTCTGGCCGGTCGCCGGACCGGCGACCGGCCAGAGGAAGGAGGAAAGACCCCAAAAAAAAGTGGAAAAAAAAAGGAAAAAAAGAAAAATTCAAAAAAATATTAAAATATTATTAAAGTTGTCAACGTTAGCGCCACGTCAGCGCCGGTGACCGGCTGCCGGCCGGCAGGCGTCCACTTCGGCAAATTCCGGTCAAAATTGGCCGGAAGGACTAAATTGGCACAAAAACAAAAGGTTTAGGACTGAATTGGCACCAATTTAAAAGGTTTAGGACTGAATTGGCACCAAAAAAATGTTTAGGACTAAATTGGCACAAATGCAAAAGGTTTATGACTGAATTGGCACCAAAAAAAGGTTTAGGACTAAATTGACATTAATGCAAAAGGTTTAGGACTTTTTTTGGCACTTTTCCCATTAAATGAGAGAGCTTTCGGTTCCATTGGCCCACCTTGGAATTGGACCGGGCATCGGTCTAGTTCCCGATTCCAAAAATTGCAAATCGGCCCTTTGGTCCAGTTCCCGATTTCTGGGTGGGAACCAAACTACCCAGGAATTGATCATTCCTAGTATTTCTATGTGGTCCATCCAAGGAGAAAATTGTCTGAAATATCTTAAACCTGTTGTATATTTGCCAATTTAGTCATAAACCTCTTAATTATGCCAATTAAGTCTTAAACCTTTTCATATTTTGTTAATTGAGTCAATCCGGCCATTGTTGGCCGGAAAAACGTGGACATTGGCCGTCTCTGAGGCACGGCCGGCGTTGACGTAAACATTTTAAATAATTTTTAAATTATTTATTTATTTATTCTTTTCTTTTCTTTCTCTTTCTTTCTTTTTTCTTCCTTTCTTCCTCTAGCCGGCAAGGCCAAAGTGAGGTCCACTGGCGAGGGTGAGCATTGGCGATGCCAACCTCACCTAGCGATGGTGAAGTCAAGCCTCGCCATCGCCGGGCTGGCAAGGTTGAGCTTGCCTAGCCATGGCGAGGTAGACCTTGCCGCCTCTGGTCGGTCGTCGGCCATTGCCGAGGCCTAGCGACCGGCTAGAGGAAGAAGAAAGGAAACAAAAGAAAGAAAAGAAAAATATCGATTCTGTAAGTGTGTATTTAGATAAATTACTAATTATACTTATAAGCACCCAGCTAGAGTTTTCTGTTTTATTTTATAAACTAATTTGATAAATCGCTTTTTGTATTTTAGCCGTATCCGGAATTCATTGTGGAATGTGGATCATGGTCATTCTGTAAGTGACCGGAATATAGATTGATACAAATAGACTAAAGTTTGTGAAAACCTTCATTGATATTATTAAATTTGTGTATGAAATGCAACAAAGTCTTCAACGTTGCAATTGATGTAATAAGTCTTAAGCTTTCTCTCTTTTTTTTTTTAATTGTAATTAACTTCTTCCATTGGAACTTGCCCTTGTGGCAGTCCCATATGTAGCCACATATGAGAAATCGAGAGAAATTATTATATGAGTGTAGCATATATATTGAACTAAATTCGGAGCATTTAGCATGGGTGTCACGTGGCTTATATGAGTATTGACGGTTCAGGTGAAGTTTAGTATATATTGGGTTCATCAATATTTACTAAAAATCGAAAGTTTCGTCGCCAGATGGAATTGATTACAGTTTTGATAGAGAAAATTTAGAACTCGATTACTCCAATTAAAGGGTTTAGCATTTCACTTTACTTCATGTCCATGGTGATGAGTTTATAAAGTAGTATCACAGATGATACTCTTAAACCCCAAAACACCTCCTTCAGTGAACAAATTAACGAAATTCAACGCATTTAAGAAATAAACTCTCAAATAAATATTTATAAGTTGTCTAAATGTATATAAATAAACTTGTCGTGTTGAAAAGAGTAGCACGCTAATTTATTTAATAAGAGTGACATAAATGGCTTGAAAGTATTAATCTGCTAACAACACGATAATTATTCAATCGTAAACGGAATAACCTAGTTACGATGCCACCGCGATTAAGCTCGGACAACATATAATTATTTAAAAGACAATATGTGACTGACCAAAGCATCCAAGGCTCGGTACGAAGACCCGCCTTGTCCGACGCAAACACTGGCCTCCTCCTTCAAAACCAATGCCCTCTCTCTTATTTCTTCTCCTTCTCTCTCCACCAACAGCCTCTTGATGGCCCTTGCAATGTTCTCTCTCTCAAGCCCACCATTCAAGTGCACTCCAATTCGCCAAACATCGCTCACATACCTTGCATTCACTCCTTGATCAGCAAAACAAGGCATGCACAACATTGGCACTCCTTCACTTATGCTTTCCAAAGTGGAGTTCCAACCACTGTGGGTCCAAAATGCTCCCACAGCAGGATGAGCCAACACTTCCTTTTGAGGTGCCCATTTCACCATCTTCCCTCTCCCTTCCAGTGCCTCGAGGAAGCAGCTTGGCGACTTCTGTGGCCACTCCGGATCGCGGACCGACTCGGGCCGGACCACCCACAAGAAGGGCTGCTTGGAGTCCGCTAGGCCCAGTGCAATCTCCAAGATTTCTGCCTCGCTCATGGCCGCAAGGCTCCCGAAGCTCACGTAGATCACGGATTTGGGCGGCTGTTCATCTAGCCAGGAGATGCAGCTTCTGTCCTCTACTAGTAAGCTGCTCGACGAAGATGTCACGCAGCATTTGTGGGATGGACCGATCGGGAAAAACGGGACCGACAAAACTTCCCGGAGCGATGCGAGATCAGTATGTTCGAGCTCTTCGAATGTGTTGATGATGACACCGAAAGAGTTCTTGATTACCTCAATCAGGTTATCCAAAATTCGGAACATCACCTCGGGTTTCTGCGGATCAACTGCTGGGATGTCTTTAACTAGTAAGGGCGGAAACTCCTTCACTGCCTCTTCGGAGCGGGAACCTGATACATAAGAGTGGAAAGAAACTATACTATATGAGAAAAAGAAATTCCCTTAGCAAGGAAATATTTGAAGGAAGCAAGCAATATATGGATCTTGACATCCAGACACGCCCAGATGATTTTATACAGAAAACTACTGCCATACACATGCATCCAATCGCGTACATTGCAAAGCACCGCATGGTAGGGGTCCGTTCTGACTTCTCTAGTTGTAAGGACGCGTTAAACACTTTTGGCCGAAAAAAGACATTGGTAAACACTAAGGGTGTGTTTGGTTGATTGTTTCAGCTTTTACGAAATGCCTCTGCATAATTATAAAGAACTTCAAGTTAAAGAGATTTTTCAAAGTGTATATAGTGTTTCTATTTGTCACAAATTTGTAAAGGACTTTAATTTTAAGATGAAAGTGGAAGCACAAATTAATCAAAGGTCGCGAGACCCCGGGCGACCTCAAGTAGACCCAAATCTAGTCCTTCGGGAAGGATTGGGGAAGCAGCAGTGAGCATATTCTACTAGGTGGAGAGCTTGATCAAGAGCGGCAGCAGCAAGGTCCTTCGATGTGAACCCACGAAGGACAAGACGTAGTCCTTGTCGACGAAAAAACATCGCCGTTCTTGAATTGATGACGGTGATGAACCTCCTGGATGCGAATCTGGAGATGAAGTCGAAGCTGTACAAGGACCATCGCTGCGGTAAATATTCCTGATGACAACAGGATGTATGTAGTCCGGAAGATCAAGGGGTCAAGCAAGATACACGAGCTGATGGGGGACACATGGTGCCAAAGGAGGTCATCAAACCTCGGCAACCACAGCCGAGGGGCCAGGTCTTTGTCGCTCGACCCTCGACCGACAGCAACCCTCGACCTTGGCGACCCTTGACCCGCGCGATCTCGACCTTGACCTTAATAATGTCAGCAACCGACAGAGCACAGAGAGTGTAAAGAAAATGAGCAGTATTTTTAGAGGGCCTGAGTGGAATACGCAATTATTAGTTAAGGCAAGATTGAAAGGAAAAAAGTCATTAAACCCAACAATAACATTTCAAAAATGTTCAAAGCTCAAGGTAGGTCTTCATCAATGCTGGTATTTCCCCAAAGTGGTCCAAAAAATATTTTACCAAATGCCCCAACCTTTTTCCAAGAGACTTTAAAGGCCAAAATCTTTTAAGAATGTCGAACCAAACGTAGCCTAAAAACCCAGAAATCTCAACAAGTCGTTTAGTAAGTATTTTGAAAATTGAAATAGCAATGTGTGGTGGAATATTGCTAGTTTTTATGAGTCATGAACATCAATACGTGTTGAAAGAACATGTTATGGTTATACAATCAACAATGCAAAAATGATTTACTAAGATGATATAGTTAATGTTAAAAATATGTCTCGAGTTTTGCGCCAGTAGATGCAACCCAACTCTAGATTTATTAAAGGAAAGTTTCCTAATTTAAGTAAGTTTTCTATTTTGAATAGTTTTCATAATTGAATGGTTTTCTAGTTTGAGAAGGTCTCCCAATTTGGATCATGCTCTTGTCTATATATAAGAAGTGTGACTTCTTATGAAGAGTATCAAAGAGGAGCTTATGTTAGTGAGTTGAAGCCAATTAAATCTTGTGGTAAGATTTGTGTATAATTCTTTCGTGAGATTGAGAGATTATTTCGTGAGTAATTATAGAGCTAAATACTGCGTGAGTTATTGGGTGTAATTGGGGTTGGGTAACACCGAGAGTGTTTGAGTGACTCGAGTATGGTTGTAATCTCCGTTGTATCGTTAACTCGAGGTACCAGGGATTGGGATTTTTCTGCCACAGCACGAACACGCCAACCTCACGTTGGGCTGGGCGATGATTGAGCCTTGCTGGCCATGGGTGAGGCCCGACCTCGCCAGATTCGGCGAGGTCATGCCTGGCCTAGCTGCTGGCGAGGGACCTCACCGGTCCTGGCCTCTAGTCGGTTGCCGGACCGACGATTAACTGGAGGAAGAAGAGAGGTAAAGAAAAAAAAATTAAATTTTTTTTTGAAAAATATTATTAAAAGTTGTCCACATCGTCGCCGGCTGTGCCATGTAAGCCAGCTGGCATCCACGTAAGCATTATCTAGCCAAAATTAGTTGGAAGAACTAAATTGGCACAAAGATAAAAGGTTTATGACTGAATTGGCACAAAAAATAGATTTAAGACTAAATTTGCACAAATGCAAAAGATTTAAGACTTTTCTAACACTTTTTCCCAATTTATAAAACCATGTAATAAATTGTACTAATTAACTGTTGTGGAAGCAAGCGATCGAACAGTAAAATAGACAGAATATGAAAATAAATCGGACATCAGAATTATGTGGTTCGGTCGTAGTGATTTACATCCACGGGGAAAGCAGCATGAAATTCTACTATAGATTAGTTGGTGGTCTCGAAACTCAAGGTTAGCGCGGGGAGCGACAACAAAGTCACTTGGAACCAGTCTTCCTCTCAGCCTTGCCATGCTAATCGTGCTCCTCCAAGACCCCTTGGCCGCCCCCTTGCGGCCATCCGGCGAGGGCTTGAGCCTCGTGCTGGGTTGGGTGAGGCTCGCCCTCGCAGAATCTGGCGAGGGTCAAGCCGCTAGCGAGGCTCGCCCTCACCAACCCTGGCATCCAGCCGGTTGCCGGTCCAGCAACCGATTGGAGGAAGAAGAAAGGTAAAGAAAAAAATTTTAAAAATATTAAAATTTTATTAAAAGTTGTTTATGTCGTCGCTGGTGGTGCCACATAGGTCGGCGGCCGGCGTCCACATCAGTGATATCCGGCCAAAATTAGCCGGAAAGACTAAATTGGCATAAAAACAAAAGATTTAGGACTAAATTGACACCGATGCAAAAAATTTAGAACTTTTCTTACATTTTTCCCTTGTAAATTGGGTTATGTAAGTCAGTACTCTAAAATTTATGACGATGTGGTTAAACAAAATCGAATTAGATTTCCCCCAAATCCATTTGCAAAAGCCCTTCATAAAACTGGGGCAACGAAGGAAAAACTGTACTTTTTTGTCAATTTATCACAGAACACACAAAAAAATCAGAACTTTTGAACCGATAAAAGAGAAGAATATACCAACCCACATCATGCAACAACAAAAGAGCTTACCAAGCACCGGGACGTATCCTTTTTCCTTCAGAACCGGAAATATAGTGGCAACATAAAGAAACGCTGCGCCGCCGGTCCGCAACACCAACGCGCGGACCTTCAACCTCTCGGCTACACCGCACGTAAAACTGAACATCGAATCCGATATCAAGCACGCAATGGGCGCCGCATCACCACCCTGCGATGACACCATTTCCTGCAGGCATTCCTCAAAGGGGACTGCGCACCGGACGTTGAGGAGCGCGAGGAGGCCACGGATGTCTGACGTGGAGGCCTCCGATTGGTCGATGCCGTCGGCGATGGATCGGAAGGCGAAGTGAGGGTGGGAGGTCGGATCTGGAGCGTTGAAGTTGGTGTGGACGATGGTGATGGAGAAGCCTCGGGCGTAGAGGATCCGACCCAGTTGGAGCGTCGAGTTCATGTGGCCTTGGAATGGATGAGGGAAGAGGATCAAACGGTGGTTGATTCTTGGGTTCATTATGGACTTTGTTTCTCTGGTCGATCGCACGTTAATGGAGGGAGGTTTTCTGGAGATATATGCAGACGCTTTAATTTTGTTTGCTTCATATGGTCTTCACGAGTTGGGTTTATAGAACAGTTTTTGCTGATTACGCGAGAAATAAAACAGCGTTCTAGCTGGATCGGTCGCGGAAAATCATGAAATGAATATTAGGTGTTGACCTGTGGATGCTTTTACTTAGGAAAAAACAAGAATATTAGGTGTTCACAGAAAAAGAATATTAGGTGAATTTAATACTCTATCTAGGCAATCCAGCACACAATTCAGAGGTAGACACGTGGCGAGTCGGGGTCACCAATCAGATTTCCTAAAAATCTCTGACTACCCGTCTCACCTGCTCCGTTAACGCCGTGACTGCTCTCCTTCTTTCAGTCTTCCTCTCTCTCTCTCTCTCTCTTCCCTTCCTCCTGAGAAAACTTCTCTCCACACGGCTAAACTTCTCTCTCACTCTCCGCCCTACTCTGTCTTTCCTCTGTGAAGGTGCTCCTCTAGTCGTCAACCACACTACCGCCTCCGCCGGGGTCGGGATCGGAGCCAAAGGCGGTGGCGTGATTGACAACTAGAGGAGCGCCTTCGCGGAGGAAAGACAGAGCCAATGGGGCTTCGGGAGGCGATGGCGTAGGCGGAGGCGGCGGCATGGTCGGGATCGGAGCCACCGATGGTGCTCCGGGAGGCAACCGGCGGAAGGCAAATTCAAAGCGCGCGTGTTTTGTCGGAGGGGGTGTTGAATAATTAAACCCCAAGAGAAATTATCATATCATGCCTCCAAGAGATTGGCTGCGTTGGTAAGGGCGTAGGACTTGAGTCCAAGGTCCCAAGTTCGAGTCCCCTCTGCGCCGTAGCCTTCTCATACTCTTGACTTACATGAAGGCTAGTTTATGGGGTCAGATTAGCTCTCCTCCGGTTGGTGCCTGGCCAGTCGGACCCTTGTAGTGCGGCCGGTGCGGGAATTCAGATTATCAAAAAAAAAAGAAAGAAAGAAATTATCATATCACAGTAATCAAAACTACCGATGAACACCAACATTCCCAAGCAACCCCCCACCGCACAGGACACATTTAACGTGAATACGGAGAGAATGAAAATTTTTGCAGGTGGAAAGACGCATGAACATAGAACAAGAAAACGAAGAAGATGGCTCGTGTAAAAGATCAGTTACCATCGAATTGAGAAAAAGAATTCAAAACCCGTTTTTAAGTAAGCGCCCCTAAAGAACACGACTTTTCTCAACTCACTCTCCTCCTCCATTCTGGGGTTTTTTGTCCGGAGTCGCGTGCTGTCCTAGGTTTCTTGTGGGGATATTGGTAGGATAAGAGATGTCGTCGGAGCTCTCGGATTCCGGTAGGATCGCCGGGCCGATCCTGTCCAGGTCGCTGGAGAAGCCTGCCATCAACTTCTCCCAGACGTGCAGCTTCCTGAGCAAGGGCACTCTCGACGGGACAGAGAGACATCGTGACAAAGAGTGAAAGAAGGAGAGCAGTAACGGTGTTAACGGAGCAGGAGACGAGGGAGTCAGAGATTTTTGAGAAATTTGACTGGTGGGCCCGACTCGCCACGTGTCGATCTCTGGATGGTGTGTTGCATTGTCTCTGGATAGGTTCTTAGGTAAGCAAATCCACCTGAAGATTATGCACTTTAACGATGAAGCGGTGCTGATAAATGATTGCGAACTTGTAATCGTTGCGCATGATGATATTAGTTTTTTTATCAGTGAAACGTGGGAAGGGGCCATTGACGTCGACGGCTCCTCCTCAGCATTATCATAGAAGTTCACACCTACGACAGAATGTCATTATGGGAGAACCCATTACCGTCGCCCCATTACAAATTACCGTTGCCCCATTACAAACCTACTGGGAGTATAGCCGGATCAAGCGATAGCGATTATGCACACTCTTTCAGATTCTCGTGCTACCTTGCCCCAAAAGTGTTGATACCCACTCAATCCATGGTGCCCCGAAGGAGATAACATTAATCGGGTTAATAAGATAGTTAGGTGAGCAATACGTTTCACATTATCAATTAGGATTAGGTGTGTGCAAAAGGAATCGACCAGACTGGCCAGTTTTGGGCGGTTCTCGATAGAGTCGATCCGATTCTCATTTCCATAAAATTGGAACCGGTGATTTTGGGTTCGGTTCCTAGTTCCAAGGGTAGAACCGCCCACCCAAACCGTATGGACCGAATTGATTATTATTTTTTATTATTTCTTAAAAATCTCTAAAGAAACTCTAAGCTAGTTGATTTTTCTTTCCATGTTCCCTCTCAGCACTCACGCCTCTTGCCCCTTTCCCACAAAACCATTACACATTCAGTAACGGTGCATTTGGTAACCATTATGTTCCTAAAAATAATTTCTGTTCGGAAATGATTTTTTTTTATTCTATGCCCGGAAACAATTTCTGAGCATTTAAAGGCGTTTGGTAACTGCTCAAAATTTCTATTCCTGGAATAGAAAAAGAACAGAAATGCGTTTGGTAACTGCACAAAATTTTTATACTAAATTTTTTTCAAGTGCTTTTTTAAACTTGGTAGTTAATTCTCATGGAGCACTCACCACTTTATTTTTTCCTTGTAAGTGAAGGAAACATGGTGAACATGGTGATATGTATATACCAAGTATATACATGGTGATATGTATAAACATGGTATATACTTGGTATAAACTCTTCCCTCTATCACTCATATCAGTGTTTTATCTCAATTTGAAGGTCACAGCTGACCTTTGAGTGTATTACTCTACCCGATGGTTTCGAACAGCACCGAATCCATTGCCAAACCAGCCATAGAACAATTTTCGTGCCTCCTAAGGAGCAACTCTTTTCTTAGTCATCAACGATATTGATGAGCACCAAACGAACTACTCCCACACGCGCGCGCGCGCATGCACGCCTACACGCACGCGCACGCGCGCATACAAGAAACGCCATTGAAATTCATTACTTTCGTGCTTATGTGTGCAGCCTAATGGTCGTGCTAAAAAAAGTCAGCAAACAAGAGAGGCACTAAAAAATTCAAGACACATAATGATCCTCTCCCATCGTCATCTAGTATTTAAAAATAATATTACAAAAGTCGGAAACACAAAATCATGGAATCTCGGGCATATTGTAATCCCTTGCTATTTTATTTGCAATACTTTTCCTAAGCATGTTTATCTCAGCTACCTGCTCATGTGATGTATCATCTGCAACCTTCACTTCTCTAGATCCAAACGGGTACTCCGGATCTCCATAAAGGGAAAAATTTTTGTCTATTCTATCTTGATCACGAATATAATTATGGAAAGCATAACATGCAATTATAATAAGTGCTTATTTTTTTATTGTAAATAGAGGCATGTGTCTCAAAATGGTGAAACGATTCTTTAATGCCCCAAATGACCTCTTAATGACATTCCTTCGTGAAGAGTGCCTATAATTAAACAATTCTCTTGCTGTTCTTGGCCGTCTCCCACTCCCCCTATAATCGTTTAAATGATACCGTTCACCTTTAAACGGAGTTAAAAATCCCAAAAGTGATGCTTAACCAAAATCTACCATGCAGTATTTGCCTGTAACATGGTATATATAAATTTGTTATGATATGCAACCATAATACAATCTTAAAGAAAGTTTCTTCTTATAGACAAAGCAAATACCTAGCGGTGATCGAGGAAATTGCAGTCGATGAGTCTCGAGTGCTGCCGAAAGCACCTGTCAATCGTTGTCATATCTTTCCCACCCAGAATACACGAAAGTAAACTTCATATCAAATGAACAAACACACAGCACATTTTGGGTGGTATTCCCTTTCCTGCCTCTAAATGGGATCTACTGAGACATATGGATGGAAGCATTTATATGGGTGCCATCAATAGCACCTACGCAGCCCTACGCATTTATGAAAATGTAATGTTATACAAGATTATCAACTACATGTATTTGATAGTGTAAACTCTATATAAAAATCATACCTTGAAGTATCGTTCATTATTAGGATCCATAAGAATTTCCTATGGGACAACATCAAAGGATAGTGGTTTGATAACCTCTTTTGAGAGTTTGAGAATTGCTTTTAACACTGTATTAAAATACTTGCTAATTGTTTCTCCTGAACGTTGGAATCTCTCACATAAATCTCTATCGGAGTTATTATGACAAACTATAGATAAGAAGATCCCAACTTGTTCATCTATCCTAACATACCGACTATCTTTCAACTAACCTTTTGCCCTCATTAATTCACATAGGTTGAGAAAAACATGTCTCTCCATCCTGAAGGCTTCATATATTCTATCTGAATGTCCATAAACAATGTCCCTTATCCATTCGGGTCATGATTGTTTGCTATCCCTAATAGGTTCTTTCGTATGCATGGACATGTCCACCGCAACAATGCACAACCATGCTATCAATATGTGAAGATCATCATCATCCAATAATTGTTCATCTGGATCTACTTGCCCATTAGATACACTATTTGATCTCCCTTCCATAGTACCTATATCATCACACAAATAGAAGAACATCAATATAGATATCTGAAAAAAAAAATCCAATAACAACCAATGACATAAGTAGTAGAGTGAAAGCAAACTACATATATAAAACCCAAGCAGTTTATCGTACCCATGGCACCACAAAAGTACAAGTGTCTCGACATCAATATCTCTAAAAACCAAATATCAAGTACTAACATAGGTCGTACAATCAAATGAAACCCCCACACAATCCACAGTACATTTCCCAACATCTACTGAAGACATTGAAGAAGTCCATTTCTCCTTTCAGCTGGGGATTTGATGAATGCCTCCCTCCATGCGGCACTAACACATGCTCATTCCACTGCTTTGTTATAAAGATCTTGCCCCAACTCAGGAATACTAACTAGGACATCAATGACAGTGGAGACAGAGAAGGGGTCCACAAGTGGTGGTGTGACCTGTGAAGTGGCAGAGATACTCACAGATTGACTTGCCTTAGCTTTGATCAGCTCTTGTATAGCTTTGCAAGTGTCAGCAATGCAAAATGAGGTACTCTTTTTTCTCCTCTTGGTATTTAAAGTCTTATCCAATTTGTGCTTGTCATGAACTGGAGTTGCAGTATTGTCGGA